GAGGAACTTTTGGGATTTCATACTTCATACCAGCTTTTGTCACCTTTGCGTGAATAGAAGGAGGTTGCAATAATTGTGTTTTTCTTCCCTGAGGCCCAGTCAGCGATCACAAGCCAGTGGCCTAGGTAATGTGTTCCACGTCAAAAAGGAGGGAGGGTAGACAGTGGGGGCTGAATATAACATGTGTGGGAATGTCGTCGATCAGTAGGTTTAACGTTTAACTAATGGACTCTCAATAGAGTTCACAATTATATCACATAATGCTATTTTCAAATCGAGCCTAGAGGAATTAAATCATTAGGTGCTAAAGTAGCAGAATTGCTACACGAGCCAAAACGCAACATTGTTTCCCACAAATTCCCCTACATTTTTCTTACATATTGTTCTTTATTCTCCTGATGATTTTAGGATTTTAATAATCCTCCATCTCATAATTCTAAGGATCCTCCTTTTGTCTACTAAAAGCATCAAATGTCAAAAAAAAAAAAATAGACCTAAAAAGGTATACAATAGAGAAAAACAAAATCATATACTGCTGCTTTAATAATCCAGGAGTTCATTTTATTGCTTGCATTCATTATGCTTCATTATGTTACTTTATGTGATAATCCATCGTGTGATTGACCATAATTAAATTTCTAGTAGTGGTTTAATTGCCAGGAAAAAAAATATATATATGAATTTCCAGATATGAGCATGGAACTTCTCTAACTCTAATCAAACTTGGAATGTCGGTGGACATTGGTTGATCCCAGAGAGGCATGGTGTGAGTGTGATTTTTATTAAATATATTGAGACATGATAGCTTAGACAAAATTGTCAAATGTGTGAGTTATGGAAATCCCTCACAAAAGCTTTGAAGATGGAGGGACATTGCCATCTCCAGTATTGTTAATATTAAAAGGCACAATCCACACAGACACAGTAAGGTTCACACAAAAGAATCAGTCTGCATAAGGATTTCAAATATAGCCATCCAATCTTTTGACTCTCAATTTGCTCACCTTTTTGATAATATGCTCGCATTTAAAAGAGCAGTCAAAGGCGAGGGTAGTGTGGTAAAGGACAGGGCATGCAATTTAGAGATACTGGAGTGAGGCCATTTCTCGCTTGTCACCTCTCCTTTCCTCCTTCAACTGTGACTTCAACCCATCTTTTGATTATGTGATTCGCTTTGGCAGACGAACAAATACAGGAGAGAAAAGGTAGTGTTTGACACTGTCATTTTTCAATGACAAAATACAATCTATAGGCAGGACTGGTAATTCAGCTGCAAGGGATTAGCCTAGCATGAGGTTGGCCCCCAGATTAAGAACAAACCAGCGCACAAGGATCTTAAATTTCATCATCTCCACAGCTCCTGCACAATGGCGTATTCTTCCCCCTTTCCTGTGTCGTCTGATGAGGGGTCAGAAGAGCTCACCTCTCAGTTTGCCTGCTTCAAGTCAAAACAATTATGGAGCTATACAAGTATAATGTACTTTAAACATTAAAACATTTTTGAAAAAAACTGTACAAATATATTTGCAATTACTGTATAACTGAATATAAAGACAATTAAAGAGGATGAATAACTACGTTCCAATTACAGATGATATTCCTCTGATGTTGGGCGGCACTGCCCTCTTGTGGAGAACAACAATTATGATAAAACATAATAATAATAATGTTTTAGTATTACCTATCATGAGGATTATAAAATAAATATGTAAAGATGTCTCATAATATGTTACTCAAGGATTGTTTGAGGTTTTTCTGTGCATTACTCCAGTGAGTGGACTGACCAGGCTTTGATCTCACAGTCATTAGTCTGGCATGCATACACAAATGTGTTTCCTTCTCATTCTTTGCTCTTTCTTCACTCTCCCACGCTCTGCTCTGAGGACAGCGACTGACCTGCACGTCTTCTCAGATTTTTATCAAAGTCGCTGCCAAGGTGTCCATCACTATATATTAACCCACTTCATTATATAACTTTTTTTTAAATACCAAAGACTGGATCATTTCACTGGACTTATAGATAAAAATGAAAAATGTTAGTATTTTCTCAATGCTAGTGTGGCCATCAATCTATACTGGACTGGACTGAACTGTCTCCAAAAAAAAAACACTCATTACATTGTCTGAGTAATTTGACAATTCAAATTATTTTGACGAAATCAAAAATGCCATAGATCCTGTTGTCACAGTTCTGATGCCAATATGTGAAAGAATAATTTGACTTAGCCAGAATGTGCGTGGGTTGCATTTAGATTATATGGTTAATTCAGAGTAGAGTTTTGCTTTTCAGCCCGAGCCTGAGCAGGTCCGAGGCCCGACCCGAGTTCTGGCCGGGCTTGGGCCTCATTTCGGCGCTCAGCTGTCGGGTTCGTGCCGGGCTCGGGCTTCTTTTTTTAAAATACATATTTCTTTTTTTAAATTATTATAATTATTTTTAAATTATTTTTATACATAATTATATGCATATATATATATATTTATTAATAACAATGTCCGTTGATTTACAACAAGTTATTAAAAAAAGTTAATATATTAATGACACCGTAACCGGCGTGTCCTACAGCAGCAGCGAGCCGTGAACGCATCATCCCCGTGTCTCCTGCTGCATGCTGTGGTCAACAGCGAACAGGAACAATAGTAGAAATGGATCGAGTGGAGACAAAACAAATTCAAAAGTGGAGACTAAACTTGCAATTGGAAGGTGAGTGCGTACAACAAGGAAATCAGATGTGTCGGGTTCTGTCGGGCTCGGGCCTGTTATACAGCGTTCATTGGTCGGGCTTATACGGGCTCGGGTGTCGGGCTTGATTTTTCAGGCCCGAACGAAACTCTAATTCAGAGTACTGCATTTTGATCAGTGTTGGGAAAGTTAATCTAAAATGGTAATATATAATCAAGTTGATTGGGATGAAAACAATATTATAGAATCACAATACACTTTAAAAAGTAACGGAGTTACACGATTGTTACTTATAATCACACAAAACAGAGGTTTGTTTTAAATGCTTATGTGTCAGAAATAAGAAATTTGGCAAACATGCAAGTTCCATTTAAAGTGATTGTCTGGAGTTTGTCAGAAAGAGAGACAGAGAGGTACTTGATTTGAAAAAAACGACGCAAGCTCCCTCCCCCTTCCTTTCTGATTGGTCTACACCTACGTTTCCGTAACACTTTGAAATGTTAATCAGAGAACATATTATACATATACATTATTAATACACATGCACGGAGGTTTTCAGAATTATTTGTGAACGTTTTAATGAAAAAAAATATGTTTTTATGCACACAAAAAAGCGATCGCGGCAAACCAGGAAGTGCTATTATCATGAATTGCACATTATAGGACACATCTGCAGAGGATCTGATTATGGATATAGGTTCAGTATATACATAAGTACCTCAGCGCGGATGTTCAGAATTCTTTTCAGTTTTCATGTAGTTCCAGAGCCTAATAGAGGCTCCGCGAAAACAAACAACTGTGCATGCGCGCAGCTGCGAGCATCAGCGCCGATGATTGACATCCCTTGGCATGACTCGATTGGTTAACCTCGACGGCACCGTGGATTCTGAACCATAGCTAAGAGCAGGGAAGGCGGGACTTGCCCGTAATATTAGAATTAATATAATGACTTATTTTATATCAACATTTAAGGCCAGGAGGTCAATTTAACACATTTCCTAAAATTTGTAATTCATTTAGAGTTACAGACTATCACTTTAACTATGATGACGCCGTTTTGATAACATTGTGAAGACAAAGCAAATGTCCAAATACATTCAATACACTAGTAACTTCACCTACTTTGATTGTACCTAGAAATTATTTACTATTTTTTTGTATTAGTTCAAAAAGGGGGGTGAAAGTGGCTCAGTTGGTAGAGCATTGGCCTTTGAGCCTGAAGGTCATGGGTTCCTTCTCCACCGACTGCCACTGATGTCTGCTGTCGTTGTGTCCTTGGGCAAGGCACTTAAACCCTGAAGTCCCTGATGAAAGATCAAGGCTGTGCCATAGAGCAGCCATCCTCCTGTGGACTCACCACCTGTAGGAGGATCAGTGTGGGGCTGGTGCTATGTGTACTGGGTGGCATCTCTGGCCACCCCCCAGACCCAGAAACAGATTAAGGGGAAGAAAATGGATGGATGGATGGATGGAGTTCAAAAAGTAATTTATCACTGCACCTATAGGAAGTAACTTCTGTATGTGCAATATGGCACCACATGTGTCCATTGCCACTTTTAGCCCACACCCTCCTGCAGCTAACATGTATCATTCACTGTTCAGACAAAATTGTTTTCACTGAGTTCAAGCTATTCTGAGCTTTAGAATGGGGTATGCATATCCATATTGATTCACACCACAAAAGCAACAGTCAGTATATACAAATAAACTACTGGATTCCAAAAGGTCCGAGCTTTACAACAAGGTAGCAAAGCAGAGGGCCAGGTAAAACGACACAGCAAACTGCATTTGGCCCACAGGCCTTAGTTTTGACATGCCAGCACTGGAGTATAAAGGTATGTACTAGATATCAAGATTATGTTTTTAAATACTCTATACAGTTTTTTTTTTTTAAGTATAGTTGTGCTGTACATAATATTCATTTTGTGTCTGTGTGCTCCTCATTCCTACCGTTCTGTAACCTGTGAAATTTCACCACGACAAAATACTCCTAACGCTGATTCTGAATATTCTGAATACTTTCACATTCATTTGCATAATATCAATTAAATCATCAAGAAGTTGGTTGCTCTGCTTTTGTCACATAAAATATACCTGCTTACACAACCACATAAACATAAGTTTCATAACATGCTGTCACAAGATCAAGTCATGCATTCAATAGTATTTGGAAATAATCTTAATCTTAATATTATGATTAATGGTGAGACTGCAGCCATGTACACTGACATGTAATGGCGCTGAAATACCACGTGGTGGTGCTGAACACACACTTAACTCAATGACCATCCAGTTGGATTAGCAGTAGCAGTTTACTTACATTTTCTATTACAAATGTCCACTCCTTGTCTTCAAACTCCTCAGCATGCGGGTCCTGCGTTGTCAGAGAAAAAACATACGTTAACAAAGAATAATGCAGTTATTTTGAAAAATGAAAAGAAAAAACACACAAACAAACCAGGTTGCTATATTGTTTCTATTTGGTCAAAGTCCATGAAACAAAATTGAAATCTAATTATTGTACTGTAATCTCTTTTGAGATCAATATAAAATCTCACCTTTGGCCCTCCCCTATCCTTTTCCTTGAATTTGTTTGGTTGTCGTAAAATAAACATTCCTGAATGGAAATGTTATTGTACTCCTAACAAGAAGGGAATCTGACCTGTGTTATTTTCACCACTGAAATGAGGTGTGTGAATATGCATGGTAAGAGGACACGGCCCATCGCTGCGGAGGCCTGCGTGTCTAACAGCGGTGCATTTCATGGTCATATTCCAAATATCTACTGTCTAGAGAGGACTATAATTCAAAATGTATTGATAATCGATTAGTTGACCAATTATTCGTTCAATTATTTGATTAGTTGTTTAAATCTCATAAGGTCAGTGAATGAGATCTTCTTTAAACATTTGATCAAATAATGCCCCTGGAGATCATGAGAGATAACTTGTTATAACGTATTCTTAATTAAACAACCCAACCCTACATTTTCATTTCATTATAGAGAAATACCTGAGTCATCAAATCTTTAGTCATGTTTAAAATCTCTGTAGGGGAAAAAAAAGTGGAAAAAATATATATGAATCTATTACTAAATTAGTGGACAGCTATTTCAATAATCGATTAGTTGCTATTAAATCGATTAACCAGCCCTACTAGAGTCCATCATTACCATCTCTTCTGCAAGTACACTTGGGGTATAATAGTATAATTTCGCCCGAACCCAGCCCAGGTCAAAAGCCATGCATGAACCACCGCGTGAGGTAGTGTTTTTGTAGAGGCGTGTTCAGTGTCTAGATATTTGAACACCGAATATATTTCATGCTTGGGGTCATTTCATAATTACCCTGGCAGATGACGACACACAGGGGTAATACGATGCTTAAAGTGATAGTCTGGAACTCTAAATGAATTACAATTTTTAAGAATTGTATTAAATTGACCTCCTGGCCTTAAATGTTGATCTAAAATAAGCCATTTAATGAATTCTAATATTACGGGTAAGTCCCGCCTTCCCTTCTCTTAGCTATAGCTCAAAATCCACAATGTCGTCCAGTTTAACCAATCAAGTGATGCCAAGGGCTGTCAATCATCGGCGCTCATGCTCGTAGCTGCGCGCATGCTCAGTTGTTTGTTTTCACGGAGCCTCCGCATCAAGCTTCCATTAGGCTCTGGAACTACATGAAAAATGAACAAAGAATTCTGAACATCCGCGCTGAGTTACTCATTTATATACCGAACCTATATCCATAATCAGATCCTCTGCAGATGTGTCCTACAATGTTCAATTAATGTCAATAGCTACTTCCGGGTTTACCGCAATCGCTTTTTTTGAGCATTAAAACATTATTTTTGTCATGAAAGCGTTAATACAGTGCCTTGCGAAAGTATTCGGCCCCCTTGAACCTTTCAACATTTCGCCACATTTCAGGCTTCAAACAAAGATATAACATTTTAATTTTTTGTCATGAATCAACAACAAGTGGGACACAATCGTGAAGTGGAACGAAATTTATTGGATAATTTAAACTTTTTTAACAAATAAAAAACTGAAAAGTGGGGCGTGCAATATTATTCGGCCCCTTTACTTTCAGTGCAGCAAACTCAGTCCAGAAGTTCAGTGAGGATCTTTGAATGATCCAATGTTGTCCTAAATGACTGATGATGATAAATAGAATGCACCTGTGTGTAATCAAGTCTCCGTATAAATGCACCTGCTCTTTGATAGTCTCAGGGTTCTGTTTAAAGCGCAAAGAGAACCATGAAGACAAAGAAACACACCAGGCAGGTCCAAGATACTGTTGTGGAGAAGTTTAAAGCCGGATTTGGATACAAACAGATTTCCCAAGCTTTAAACATCTCAAGGAGCACTGTGCAAGCAATTATATTGAAATGGAAGGAGTATCAGACCACTGCAAATCTACCAAGACCCGGCCGTCCCTTCAAACTTTCATCTCAAACAAGGAGAAGACTGATCAGAGATGCAGCCAAGAGGCCCATGATCACTCTGGATGAACTGCAGATAACTACAGCTGAGGTGGGAGAGTCTGTCCATAGGACAACAATCAGTCGTGCACTGCACAAATCTGGCCTTTATGGAAGAGTGTCAAGAAGAAAGCCATTTCTCAAAGATATCCATAAAAAGTCTCGTTTAAAGTTTGCCACAAGCCACCTGGGAGACACAACAAACATGTGGAAGAAGGTGCTCTGGTCAGATGAAACCAAAATCGAACTTTCTGGCCCCAATGCAAAACGATATGTTTGGCGTAAAAGCAACACAGCTCATCACCCTGAACACACCATCCCCACTGTCAAACATGGTGGTGGCAGCATCATGGTTTGGGCCTGCTTTTCTTCAGCAGGGACAGGGAAGATGGCTAAAATTTATGGGAAGATGGATGGAGCCAAATACAGGACCATTCTGGAAGAAAACCTGTTGGAGTCCGCAAAAGACCTGAGACTGGGACGGAGATTTATCTTCCAACAAGACAATGTTCCAAAACATAAAGCCAAATCTACAATGGAATGGTTCACAAATAGACGTATCCAGGTGTTAGAATGGCCAAGTCAAAGTCCAGACCTGAATCCAATCGAGAATCTGTGGAAAGAGCTGAAGACTGCTGTTCACATACGCTCTCCATCCAACCTCACTGAGCTCGAGCTGTTTTGCAAGGAAGAATGGGAAAGAATTCCAGTCTCCCGATGTGCAAAACTGATAAAGATATACCCCAAGCGACTTGCAGCTGTAATTGCAGCTGTAATTGCAGCAAAAGGTGGCGCTACAAAGTATTAGCGCAAGGGGGCCGAATAATATTGCACGCCCCACTTTTTAGTTTTTTATTTGTTAAAAAAGTTTAAATTATCCAATACATTTCGTTCCACTTCACGATTGCGTCCCACTTGTTGATGATTCTTGACAAAAAATAAATGTTTTATATCTTTATGTTTGAAGCCTGAAATGTGGCGAAATGTTGAAAGGTTCAAGGGGGCCAAATACTTTCGCAAGGCACTGTAGATCATTCTGATATATGTATAAAGTATTCTCCGATTAACATTTAAATGTGTTGATTTTTTTTAACGGAAACGTAGGCATAGGCCAATTAGAAAGGAAGGGGGAGGGAGCTTGGGTCGTTTTATTCAAGTCATGTACCTCTCTCTTTTTTCAGACAAACTCCAGACAATCACTTTAATGACAGTGGAACAAGTCGTGGATCGCTGTAAACCTCTTGCCATCAACATTTGATAAGCTTGCCATGCAGAGGTGTCCAAACCGTTCCAGAAAGGGCCGCTGTGGCTGCAGGTTTTCTATCAGACCTGTAGCCCACAGCGGCCCTTTCTGGACCGGCTTGGACACCTCTGCTTAGTCCATGTGATTTCCTGACTGATTTTGAAAGTCAGAAGTTAATAAAAAAAATGCCTCCTAGGGTAAGCACATAAGATAACTGAACGTTAAAACACTAAGGATACTTACCTTGAACAGGGTGACAGTGATCTCAATGTTTTCTGGGACTGGCCAAACCACCACACCACGGTAAGGGTTTTTAATGCCGGGTTGCCAGCTGTGGGACTGGGTGAAGGACTCACAGTTATTGGCGAGAACATTGTGCCAGTCAGAATCAGCAACATTACAAACCTTAGATGATTTCCTCCGACTTCTTCGTGTCCATACCACTACAAGTTTGTCAGGTTGCCTGCAAAAAATAAATCAGAAATGGTTAGGAGAATTTTATATAATTCTACATCAGAGAAGTATAGAAGTGAACCACAATGCCGAAATAGACGTTATGTAACAATTTATTAATGCTGTTGATGGAGGTAAGCACTTGCAATCTGGACCACAGTCCTAAATAAATGCTATTTGCCCATGGCCTAGTAAGACCTATTCAATTTGGTCTGCAGAGAATTATGGTAACCCCCTGGCTTAGAGCCTTGGTATTTTACTTACTACACATTGTGTTCAAATGCAACTGCTCCAAGTTTTCTGTCAAATATGTTTGACACAAAAAGTACTTGTATTAGTCATAACAACGAATAATCATCATTGTTTTCTGAAATAATTGCAAGGTTGCAGTTAATTATGATTAGTAATGTATTACCAATTTGAATGCCTTACACTAATGAATTACAACAAAATATACACTGTATTATATTACAAAACAAATATTACTCCCAAAACACTGGTTTTGGTAAGAATCACATTGTGATGTAATGGTTAAGATAAGATTATCATAAATTAGTGGGTAGGTTGCTTTATTTACTGAAATATATTAAGTTTATTCCATAAGCTGACAAATAATAAAATAAAATAATCATTTAATAACCCTTACCCATGAATCACAGGCTAGAAACATACAGTGACATTAATTCATGTCTTTTCACTTTTATTTAAGAAAACTATGGCAGATGGCCAACTTCAAAATCCTTCTATTATCCATCCATTTTTGACCCCTTAATCCATTTCTGGGTCAGGGGGTGGCCACACAATACACATAGCACCAGCCCCTCACTGATCCTCCTGCAGGTGGTGAGTCCACAGGAGAATGGCCGCTCTATGGCACAGCCTTGATCTTTCAGTGGGGGCTTCAGGCAAAGTGGGGTTAAGTGTCTTGCCCAAGGACACGACAGCAGTCATCAGTGGGAGGCGGTGGAGAAGGTCTCATGGTGGGCTCGAACCCACAACCTTTAGGCTCAAAGGCCAATACTCTACCAACTGAGCTACTGTCGCTCCTTATATTATTGAGCTATGAATTCCACCAGTGGCAGTTATGACTACAACAAACCATTATTGTTAAGACAATATGGGTGATTGTAAGTAATCTTTATTTATAGAGCGCCTTTCACAAACCAGAGTCACAAAGCGCTTTACAATTATTGTGGGCTTTTGTCCACTCACTCCACACAGGGATGGGAGCAGGGTCACAATTGCCAGACCTATTGTACATGTTTTTAGTGGTAGGGGAAACCTATGCAGAGAGGAACGTCAAGAGGAACCAGTTGCGGTGGCTCGGGCATCTGTTCCGGATGCCTCCTGAACGCCTCCCTGGGGAAGTGTTCCAGGCCTGTCCCACTGGGAGGAGACCCCGGGAATGACCCAGAACATGCTGGATGGACTATGTCTCTGAGCTGGCCTGTTAAGATGGTTGCCCCCATGACCCGGCAACGGATGAAGCAGAAGAAATGGATGGATGGATGAATGGGAAACCTATGCAGACATGGGGAGAACATGTAAACTCCACACAGAAAGGTCAAACCCAGAACCTTCTTGCTGAGGAGCATGAGCGCTAACCACTGCACCACCGTGTTTGGTGGGAGTCAGAAAGTTACAATACTAACTTACCAGAGCAAAACTTACAATGGATTTCAAAGAATCTATATACACAATACAGAGCATTCTATTAGGCAGGTCTCAATAACTTATTTTGATGAAGATTCCTTCAATTTTTTTAAAACATTGCCACACTGACATATCATTACAGAGCAAGAGCTTCAAAAACAACAACAGAATTAAGTAATTACATAATTATTTTCATGAAACCATGTACAACTAAAATGTCATACTCTTACAAAGATTAAAAGAAAACTCCACTACAGCAAAGAAAATCTACAGATAAATATTGAGGCAAAACATATATTGTTTATCCATCAGTTAACAGTAGGTCAATATACAAGTAATTACTGTGACAGGCGCGATACATCACATATTACTAAAGCAAACACGTTATCCAGATGAAGTCAACAAATTTGGCCGGATTTATGTTTGACAGGAGACAATGGAGAGCACACATGCTCAGCACAGATCGACATGTCACAGCCTGACACAGGCCGGTCACTTCCACTGAACTCTGACAAAACAGTGAAATGCTTTACAACTTTAGGTTTGTTTTAAACAAACATTTGTTGCTTGTCACGTCTATTCTTGACAAATATCTAACTGGTTAAATGTTGTATTTGCTTATAATTCATTAAAATCAACATAATAATATCAGAAAAAAATTCAAATTTTATACAATGTTCAAGATTCATTCATGTATCACTCCGAGGCTACTTTAATAATTCAATAAATTACACAAGTACATGGATGTGGGCAGGGGTAAAGTGAAAACCAAAATTGTCTCAGCATGCAAGCCTCAAATAACTCAAAACCATGAACTAAATAAATCTAAAACTAATATGAGTGCACTGGTTTGTGTACCCTCAGTAATAAATGACTTAAAATGTACAACTATTGATTTAAAAATACACAGCATTTTGTGTCTGGAAGTATTGAGACCAGTGAGTGCAGTCATGGTTAGCCATGCTTGTATTTAGAAGAGTAGAATTACCATGTAATCAATACATCCACTGTGTTACTGACGAGCAGGGTATAATCTTCACAACATTGCCACAAATCTAACAATGACTTAAGTTTGCAAAAATAAACTTTAATAAAGAACACATCAGTGAAGAATTGAAAGAGACTATTACCTTATATAGGTCAGCAAAAGCATATGTTTTGTATCAGGGGTTAATGTTTTGTACTATTCTGTCAGTAAGATATATTAATTGCATTACATTGTTTAAAACTATCATTCTTAACATTTACCTTCTGTTTACACAACCACATGTTCTGAACCAAGTGGTGGGGACAGCAGGTTTGAAACAAATCAAATAAACTTTAGCTATTGAGGAAATCTAATATTAATCTAAATTAACACTGATACAGACACATCATAGAAAATCCTTGCATTGGCTGGTGGAATATAATAAATCTGAGCAATATCAAGTTGCAAAACGAAGCATACTCCATCCAGTGCACCAGCCCACCCACCTTTGGCTCTAAGAAGATGCTTGCATTTTTGTCATTCCATTCTCTGACACGTTAACATCTGTCCAGGTTGAAGCTCATGGGGCTATGAGTTAGTCATACGCTGCATTTGTACTTCATAAGTCTTCTTTCACTCCACACAGAAGGTTTTTAATGTACCCATTACATCTACTTTTAATTAAATTATACGAGTATAAGATAAACTTAAATTCAAAAACAGAACAAAACTGATGAATTAAAAACTAAAATATTAAACTGACTAAAGGACCTAATATTTTGAGTCACTGACTCAAAATTGTATTGTAACAGCTCTGATTTTTTGTTGTTAATAATTGTTATGATTTATCTTTCCAAACTGTATGAATTGTGCCATTACAAATTGACTTGTTTTGCAATAATATATCTAGTATCCCTATAGATACAGTATATAAGGGGGGAAACATAGGAACTCTATCCAGCAGTCAATCCAGCAGTCCGCCCCTCCCAACTTGCAGACATGCCTGCACACTGTGTATGCGAGTTGTGCGTGAATTATGGGCACCACTCAAACATTCCAGCACAGACAGAGACATTCAGTTTTCAGGGGGGAAAATGACACAGCGCCTTGAAGTCTGTTATTCCAAAAACTTACCATTTCTTTGTGCACTCCACCATCAGCTCCTGGTAGGATGCCACAAACTGAAATTTGGAGGCATGCTTCCCCACACGTTGGAGTCTCTTCCAAACTGAAGCCATATTTGTCCAGAACTTTTCTCAATACCTATCTAGACGTCTTTCGGGATATATCCCACTTACATTTATACTAATCTGAATATATCCTTCCACGTTTGACACATGGTGAACGTTGAAGCACAACCACTGCAGTATGAATGTATATCCAAAGGTTTATTTAATTACTGAACGATAGATCCGTAAGTGGGGAGATGCTGTGATGGCTGAAATCTGAATTATTACTGGACATTTTTCATGGTTTAAAAAAAGAAATCACTCCTCCAATATGTTCGGAAAACCATGGCCCGTATTCCTCGTAGCGTTCGCTATACGACTCAATCCTGATGTAGCCCTAAAACATAAAAATACATGGTCATTACATGAAAGTAAACAACATACAGTGTACAATATTTCACCACTGTATGACTAACATAGCGGTCCTTTCGCGGGTTTGGGGTAAGAGTTAACAAACTGTCTGTGGAAGTCGATGCAAACTTTCTTCATCGTTATTTGCCTCAAGAAGTCCATGAAGGACGCCGTATACATCCAACACAGTCCCCAAAGGTTGTATTAAGCTGTATTGTTTTTATTTTTAAATGGACTATGAGATGAAGCCAGACAACCCAAAACAATTGGAGCAAACAGAGATTTTAACATGGGGGAAACCATGGGGCATATCAAGCGAAGTAGAATTATATACCATTTGACATGTGGTGTATGTAGGAATGTTATACGGAGAAATATGTTGGGCCGTAATGCTCCACAGTTGCTGCTAACCCTTTACGATCATGTAAAACTCCGTTAACAGACCAAATGACACTCACCCTGCTGCTATGCTCCAAAGCATTGTCTCATTGTCGTCCCTTCGGCCAAGAAACTCAAACGAGTCATTTTACTCTAGGTTGAAGTATAAAACAAGCACGACCACCAGGCTAATTATCGCCCTTTTCGCAAGTACCAGAGCAACCCTGTAGCTAGCCTAGCACTAGCACTAGCCTGGCTGCTAACGACAACTAGCATCATAACACGGCAGCAACGGAAGCTCTTCAGCCACATCTGCCCCAGGCCATGGATGGCGCAATTGGCGCATGCTCCACACACAACCATGAAAGATGCCTTTAATACACTATTATATATTTTTAGTGATGTTATAGAATCAAACATAGAGGCATCAGCTTTAAAAAAATAAATAGAATAAAAAAGTCGTTAAATAAAACTAATTTCCTTGGTCACTCAGCCATTTTTGATGACTGATTTTCAAGACTCACAGAATATTGTATGCTATTAGTCTGACTATGTGAAATATGAAACCAGATTCTACAGCCAAACCCCAGACATATATGATACAGAGGACACAGACGGAGAAGAAAATAGTGAAAAACGATTGATTAATCAGTCAATGTGAATGAGTTGTTAATTACATGTATAAGGCCTGAATTTGAAATGCATCACACAACTTTTCATGATAAAGGCTGCAACATTATCTTGCAAAACCTTGTGCCACAATACCAAAGCAGTTGTGCAAAAATGGATTTACCTTATTTTTAATGATTCATTCTGACCATTCAGCGTTTTAAGTTGCAAATATCACTAATATTCTTAACTCTTACCTTACTTCATATAAAGTCATATTTAAAATTGGCTATGAGGCAAGACACTTAAACCCACTTTGCCTGAAGCCCCGCTGAAAGATCAAGGCTCCTGTGGTCTCACCACCTGCAGGAGGATCAGTGAGGAGCTGGAGCTATGTGTACTGGGTGCAGCTCTGACTGCCACCCGACCCAGAAATGGATTAAGGGGAAGAAAATGGATGGATGGATAATTTTCTCACATTACAACAAGAAGGTGCCTATTTTTCCCTGTGAAAATTTGGATCACCCATTTCTCCCTTATGCCCGCCATTTGACGATCAAAAACATATTTGTTATACTGGAAAATAGTTTGATGTCATTAAATCAGTTGGCTCTTATGTGCTCTGAGAAGCAGGTTCCATGACATCATCTCCCATAGCTTTCCAAGTGCACTCGGGTGATGTCATCACATGTTTCAGGATGTGGCCAGACCTCCCATGTCCGCCGCTGGTAGCAGGCCTTGTATCAAGAGTAAATTAAATCTCCATGTGAAGTCATAAGGTCATGTGACCTATTGTGTATTATTATCTGCATTTTATTTTATTTATTTTCTAAACATGTTTAGTCAAATTATGAATCTATTCCAGCCTATGAGTCATAACAACAATGATTACAACTCCACTAAATATAAGTTATCGGCCACTATAATTAGTATCCGGAGCTCAGGGCAGCAGAAAACATTCATATGTAGGCTCAAGACACACCTTTTCAGATTATCTTTTGACTAGTATTAATTATTCCATTTTATACATTTTATTTTAGTTTAAGTAAGTAAGTAATGTTTATTTATATACCGCCTTTCACAGACCAGAGTCACAAAGCGGTTTACAATTGTTATTTTTGGGGCACTTGTCTCTCACTCCACAGAGATGGGAGCAGGGTCGCCAGTACAGGAGGCGCATGCCAGACCTATTGTACATATTTTTAGTGGTAGGGGAAACCGGAGTACCCGGAGGAAACCTACGCAGACACGGGGAGAACATGCCAACTCCACTCAGAAAGGCCCTGGCCCTACGAGAGTGCTATCCACTCAGCCACCGTGCCGCCGTGTATTATTGTTACTACTATTAGTTTGTGTAAGCTCTCAGTCGTACAGGGATTAGTCAAAGCAAAGGAAGGTTTCTCACCCATCATCTGTACTTCTTAGCAAGTTTTCCCGACGTTTCGTCCTCAACCTGGGGACTTCTTCAGGGAATGAATTCTCGGACCGCGCGTTGGAGATTTATAACCTATGGGTGTGGTAAGCCACACCCTAATCCTGATACTAACTCGTAAACAATCTCAGGTCTGCTTGATGTAGAAGGGAGCAGGTCTAACGACCCTGCTGAGGCTAACGACCCTAACTCCTTAGCATGTCACAGACCTATTGTCTGCTGGGATGCTCAAGTGGAGTGCAGGTCTCACCCCTCCTAACTCATTAGCATGTCACTGACCTTGTCCCAAGTTAGGGCGTTGTTTTTAGGATGTCGTCATAGATGCGAGGCAAAACAAATCTTAACCCTCCTCCTCTGTTAAGAGAAGGTTTTTGTTTCCTCACAAAAATGGCTTCTTTCACTCCTCTCTCAAACCAATTCTTCTCCCGAGCCAGAATTTTAACCTCTGTGTCATCCACCGTGTGGTTGGAGGCCTTCAGGTGGAGATGAACAGCCGACTGTGGCCCACTAGAGTTTTCTCTACGATGTTGGTAAAGTCGTTTCTGTAGAGTTTGTTTGGTTTCTCCAATATAGTGGTCAGTGCACTCCTCTTCACTACATTTAATTGAATACACCACATTGCTCTGTTTGTGTCTGGGTGTTTTGTCTTTGGGATGCACTAATTTCTGTCTTAACGTGTTGAAAGGTTTGAAATACACAGGGATTTTGTGTTGCCTAAAGATTCTTTGTAGTTTCTCTGAAACTCCCGCCACATACGGTAAGGACACCCCTCTCCTCCTACTTTCTTCTGTCTGTAGGACTGTGTCTCTGGCCTTTCTCGTCCTTTGGGCTTTAGTAAAAGACCACTTGGGGTAGCCACATCTGGAAAGTGCTCTCTGAACATGTTTGGTTTCTCTGTTCTTTCCCTCCGAGCTAGTGGGGACCTGGTGGGCTCGGTGTTGAAGCGTTCTAATGACCCCGAGTTTGTGTTGTAGCGGATGATTTGAATCAAAGGCCAAGTACTGGTCAGTGTGAGTGGACTTTCTGAAGACCTCAGTCTCTAATTGTCCGTTCTCCAGTATGATGACCTTACAATCTAGAAAGGCGAGTTCACTCTCCTTAGCATCCTCGCGGGTGAAATTTATAAAAGGGTCCACCGAGTTAATGTGTGCTGAAAATGGTTCCACTTCCTGTTTCTTTAACTTAACCCATGTATCGTCTACATATCGAAACCAATGGCTTGGCGCTGTCCCTTGGTACGAGCCCAGGGCTTGTTCCTCCAGTTTCTCCATATACAGATTGGCCACTATAGGAGAGACTGGGGAGCCCATCGCACAGCCATGAATCTGTCTAAAGAAGGTGCCTCTAAATTGGAAATACGTGGTGTTAAGACACATTTCAAGTATTTCACAGATGTGGTCAGCTGTTAGTTTCGTTCTCTCCCCTAGTGTGGCGTCTTTCTGTAGGCTTTCTCTTACAGCCTCCACCGCCTCTGTAATAGGGACCGACGTAAAAAGCGATGTCACATCAAACGAGACCATTGTCTCATCTGAGTCAAACTGGAGGTGTTTGATTTTATTTACAAATTCTTTTGTGTTTTCTATGTGATGGTGGGTGTTACCCACCAAAGGAGCCAGAATGGTTTTGAGGTGTTTAGCCAGGTTGTAGGTGATAGAGTCTATGCTACATACAATAGGCCGAAGTGGAAAGTTTTGTTTGTGTATTTTTGGGAGGCCATAAATACTGGGGATGGTGTCTCCTGGGTAAAGTTTGTAATATAGTGGTTTTTCAATAATGCCCTCTTTCATTAAGTTCTGAAGGAAGTCTATAATCTTTTTCCTAAACCCACTGGTAGGGTCCCTCTTCAATGGCTGGTACGTGTTGGTGTCCAAGAGTAACTGATTAACTTTGGCCTCATAGTCTGAGCTGTTGAGGATAACTGTGCATCTGCCTTTGTCAGCTGGTAAAATAGTTATATTCTCATCCTTTTGTAATGCCAATAATGCTTTTTGCTCATCTAATGAGACATTGGATTGTGGGGGCTTCGCACTTTTGAGTGTGGCAGAGACTCTCAGTTAGTTTGTTGTTTCTAATGGCTGCTTCTGCTGCTGTGATGTATTCAATTGTAGGAATATCTTTTTTTTTTTTACTACTACTTACTACTACTAATACTACTATTATTAATATGTATTAATAATACTAATACTACTATTATTAATATGTATTGTGATAGTTTCCTTTTAGTCTCATTTTTATCGTTTTAGTATCCCCAGTGTTTCCTCTGGAGGAACCCTCTGCACTATGAGAAATGGTCGGCTGTGGCTGTGGGGGTCTGGCTCTTGGACCTGGTGGGTGCCTGGAGCCTCGGCTTCATGTCTCCTCTGGGTGCTGTGGTGTCCCCTGGTGCAGACGGCTCCTTGGATGGCGCTTCTTCAGTTGGTTACATCTGCACCTGATAGTCTCTCCTCATGGTTTTACTGGTCTATGTCAGCGTGTGTGTGTGAGCATGTATGAGTGTGTGTGCGTTCTTAATAATATATGTGGTTTGGGGTCGGAAGGAGGCGTCATGAGCCGGTGGGATTGTTTTTAACCAAACTGTAAAGCACTTTGTGTTGCATCTTCTGCTTTATAAATAACATTTGATTGTTGTTTGTAAAGTATCCCACCACTCACACCCCCCGCTAAAAGACCAAGGCAGCTCAGACTAGAGCAGCCATCCTCCTGTGGACTCACCTCCTGCAGGAGGATCAGTGAGGGGCTGGTGCTCAGTGAAATGGGTGCAGCTCTGAATGCCACCCCCCGGCTCAGAAATGGATTAAGGGGAAGAAAATGGATGGTTTGATTGCCCTGTAAAATCAACCATTATGGTTGACTTCTGTGGCAATAATCTTGTGAAACCACTAAGTACCTTTTTACTTTATTCAAGCTCTTTTTAACATTTGAAGTGATCCTTGATCCTCGTCTTTTCAAAACTCGTTTTTGAGCTCTAAACACAGGGATAGTCAGATTTGTATTACATGCAACAAGATATAGGAAATATGGTAGCTGGATATTAAAGTAAGATCATTATAATGAGCCTTGTGCTTCTAAGCAAGAAGGTCCTGGGGTTGATTCCTTGAGCCAGACGAGTTTGCGAGTTCTCCAGTGTCTGCGTAAGTTTCTTGTTCCATTCAAACAATTATCTTATTGTCTAATGTTGGTGAGGTGACAACATGGATGGACCTGCAATAAGGTCTTCCAACTGCAGGAATACAGATGACAAGGGTCCAATCTACTGCCCCCTCTAGTGGATATTTATTTCTACACAATACACAATGCAGATATTTCATAAATAATACAACTGAGTAACACAATATACAAAAACAGAAAAATAGATCTTTATTTTAAGTCACAATCTAGGCCGCAAATGTGGAATAGTCTTATCAGGTGGTTGGATTCATACAGAACATAAAAGGCACGCTCATGGTGAGAACCTCAAAAAAGCTAGTGCAGTAACAAAATTAAAAAGTGAAACCAAACGTGAGGTAGGGCATTGAAAAAAAACAAACAAAAAAACATTAAGGGAGTATGTTTGGGTTTGTTCAAATTGTATTTCCACAACTATAGAATTAGAGCATTACTAATCATAATATTAAAAGCTATCAGAACATAGTGACTCTTCAGTATTAGAATAGAACATAAAGGCCCAACACCTAAACTGATCATCAGCTTAAGTATCCAAAACCTTTCTGGAGACAAAAACAACGTAAACACTTCAAGTAGACAGATCATGGTATTATAAATGGTCAATAAAAAAACGATTGCTTACATTTTAAACTGTACAAAGTGTATCAATTTGGCTTATTTCTTTCATTCTATTATAGCAAACCCTTTCAAAAAAAGAGAACGTCCAGCCATTTCAGAACAGCCTAAAATGAGACCTCTTGCATCCACAACGGCAGTAATCAAATAAATACATACATGGGCAACGGAGAATTCGTTAGAGCATCGTGGTTAGTGTCTCTCTCCACCCTAACCAGCAGGGGGAGCCCCAACAGAGAATATTGTCTTATCTAGCTGTACAGTACATTCACGTTACTTCGAGTTCTGTCAATAAATACTGAAATAGACTCTCTTCCTATGATAGCAGTAGATCATTGATATTAAAATCAACCCCAAACCTTGATACATTTTATTAACATTTACCAGAAACAGCGTCTTACTGTAGGTTCTGTAAAAGTACCTTCTCCACTCCACTATTGATGTTTGAGTAGAGAAATACAAATAATTAAAACATTTCAACTATATATATAATGAGCAATGTAACGTCTATAAATACAGGCTCTTGGTAAAGCAAAGCAAAGCAAACTACCTTCAAATAAGCAAAACAGGCCAACTTGAAGAGTTTGGTCTTAGCATTGGGGTGGAATTCTGTGCAAAATTCAGAACTAGTATTATTATATAATGAAAGATGGCTTTGAAATTGTATCTAACAGCACATGGACAGGGTAGCAGCACAGTCTCCAGTAACAGTCAAGGAGGATGTGTTCACTTTGATTTCAAAGACTTGAATTTTCACAAATCTTCAACTGAAGATAATACTTGTCTTAAACCTTGTATTGAATTTCAAAGAAGACACTGCCTAATAATGGGCTACTTGTTTTTATAATACAGCATTTAGAGCAGCATTTAGCTGTCACACAGTTAAAGCTTTATAATGGTTATATAAATAGTATTGTATAAATATGTGCACACACCCAATGATCACTGTAACAAGTTTGGTACAGATCATTCTACAGCAAAGCATGGTTAGAATAAAATACTATGTTGGCTGCACAATGCATCACTCGCATTGCCTCAAGACTGTGCGATATCACAACCTCTATATGTACAGCTGCCACCTTCAAAAATAAATAATATCATTTAACCTTGACCTCTAGAGTCCCTATTGTCATACACCTTGTAATCCTTTATCTTTTTTTCTTTTTTTTCTTTTTAAAGATTGGGCGTGCAACAAAAATCACTGACAGGTAAGGTTGGGGCTGCTGAGCCAGGTCCAGATTTGGATCATCTCCTGTGGGGTTCTGGGGTGAACAAGCATTAAGCTGTTGTATGCGCAGGGATTTGACCTGTATTTCTCTTCAATGTCAAATGTTCTAAAGCCCTTGTGTTTCTCTGGGGCCAGCCCTAGCTTCCTGAGGCACATGCCTGTGTACACATCATCAATGGGATACAGTGCCACATGCTGTGACACATTGTGCAGACGAGCAGCAATATCCCCAGAGTAGAGATAGCCTCCACCCCCAGCGTACGGAGGGTATGTTCCCACATACATACTCTCAGGGATAAAGTATTTCACCTTTTTGTCTCTGTGTGGGCCAGCATTTGTGATCACATCACCAATAAACAGGTTTTTAGCCTTAGATTCAGGAAGATCTTTGAGGAAGTTGAGGATGCGATAGGTGTTTACAAAGACGTCATCGTCGCCTTTGAAAATAAAGCGCGCACCTTGGCAGCGAGTTTGAATCCACTCCAAGAATAAAACTTCTTTGACAGTAAGATTAAAGAAGGAGTCTCTATAGTCCCACTGAATGATGTCTTTATGTTGCCGACTCTCATACTGCAGCATTGCAGACAGGTCTGGATGGTGGTCCTCCACAGTGGCATTACCAAGTAGGAAGACTGTGACAATGGTGTGATTCCCCAAGGAGCCTGCCCTCCCCCAAGACTCTCGGATGGCCTGCCGCCGATCGAAGTGTGGGGCCAGAGACTTAATGGCCAGCAGCAGAAATGGAGGCTCCTTACAAATGTCCGGCTGGTCCACCTTAAGAGGGTATGAGCGACAGTGCATGTAAATAAGGAAGTCCTTAAAGCGCTGTGGTAGAGAGCTGTAGTCCTTTACTTTAGTGGTGACCCTGAGGTCTGGCTGGCAGGGGTCAGCACCAGAGCTTGTGTCATTGAGCCAATCTGGCAAATCTAATAACGTGGAATTGGCCAAAATGATGGGGTTATTATGCATGTCCAAGATCTGCTGCTGCCAGTTCCAGTAGGCCGCATGAGGAGTCAGCTTGTTCCAAAATGATTTTGACGGGATGATAATTTTTAGCCTGTTTTTATCCTGGTTGTGGTGTCGAGAGATGATAATAAAGATGAAGAGGTTGACCATCATCACAGTCACACAAACCTTGAGTTTCCTTCGGAGCGCCATGATATGGATCTGCAACTCTCACCACCTGGACACAAACACAACAGTGTGATACTCCTGAATATAACGCTGGATTGAAGACATGACTTCCAAATGAAGCCAAACATTAAAGAAGCTATACACAATTATTTTTCTAAGTAGTTCATAAAAATCCGTAATTTAATTGAAAACTTGAGCTCATTGATTCAGCTTGTGTATGAATTCAGGACGTGAAAAGTGCTGAGTAGAGACTTAGCGGGACGCTCGTTCTCCTCCACTCACAGAACGAGGAGCGAACAGCCTGCGTCCTCTAGCCTCTACAGCGCTGGTAAACACTAGGGCTTTGACTTCAAAATTCGAATATAATTCTAAAATTTAAAAATATACTGTATATGTGTATCATATCAATTTTTTTTTTTTTTTTTCAAACAAATATTAGACAGCCCTTATAATTCGAAATGTACTTAAATAACTGCAAATAAAATAGTTAGCTCCCAAAGGTTTCACCGTGAAGTGCTAGGCAGGTAACAACTAAGCTAGCTACTTCAAAAACTCTCTGGAACTACATGAAAACTGAACAAAGAATTCTGAACATCTGCGCTGAGTTACCCATTTATATATTGAACCTAAATCCATAATCAGATCCTCTTCAAATGTGTCCTAAAATGTTAAAATTCATGTTAATGGTTACTTTCGGGTTTATCGCGATCGCTTTTTGTTATATTAAAACAGTATTTATGTCAGGAAAACGTTAACAAATTTTGAAAACTTCTGTGTATATGTGTTAAGAATGTACTGTATATGTATAATGTATTCTCCGATTAACATTTAAAGGTGTTGATTGGTATTTGTTTATTGAGCGTGGCTAGCTCGGCTAGCTCCTCAGCACAGACAGAAGTAGTGACAGGCACTGAAAGCTCGTACTTGCAGACTCTTGCGTTTTAGCTAAAGCCCCACCTCACTTCCGGTTCACGGGAAATGGCTTGAGTTTCACTGGAGTTCAGCAGTGGTTTACACGAGTTTCCCAAATAATGCTCAAACGGAAATTATACTATGAGGTAACTGGGCATTTTTGGGACACAAAAGTGCTCTTTGATTGTGCTGTCATTGTGTTTTTATAAAGTTTACCTGGCCTCGGTTCAAGCTCTACCTCAGAGAGAAAGCACAGTGACACTTTTGGATCAGTCTCACAGCTGAATGTATCAATCTAATTACTAAAAAACGTCACTAAAACCCACCTAAATGCCATAGAATAGCATAGGCAGGAAGTGAAAGAGCTGTCCTTTGTTAACCGGAAATGACGTCACGCCTCCCCGTGCATATAGCCCATTTACACACCTGAATTACAAACACAGATTGCATTGCCAAAGGGCAGCGGTCATTATTGGTTTGAGAGTTCTGTTATCAAGAAAAAATGATAGGTAGAACGTTTTGAAATTACATTCAAGTCAATGGAGTGTTCTACTGCTGCTGTGAGGAGCTGTATAATAAAATTATATATATATATTATTCATTATTATAATATATATTTATTCTAATGTTTAAATTAATACATTTGGACGCGAAACTAGCGGTATTCTTTTACTTATATATTGATCAGATCGCAAATTAAACTAGATGGCTCTGTGGGATGAGAGCGTAGGGGAAATGAGAAGCCTGTGAGCGAGTTGGGGGCAGTGCTAAACATTCAAACCTTGCAGAAAAGGGTATTCTTTGCTTGCAGTCACGTGACGCATAAACTTCCAGTTAACGAAGTGGTGGTCAGGCCAGCGAAAGTTGCTGCTGATATGCGAAGAAAATGCAACTCTTCCGAGTATTTCTTTGCTTATTTAGATATGTCATGACACTTTGAAGCTACTGTGGTTAACGTTCTAACTCATCATTCTAACAATATGCACAAGGCAGTATTTTTTCACTACATGTTTTGGTAATATCAAGGTTGAAGCTACTGGCAGCGTGGCGAATGCTAATATTTGTTAATATGCTAATAAGTCTCCATTCCTCCACGGTATAATATCACTTACATTCTGTAACGTCTTTGTTTATGCTGCCTCTACCATCAACAAAAAAACATATCTTCTGTCTGAATTAAAGACAAGATCCTAGACTGTCATTTTCTTCACTTTAGATTCTAATCCTCGAGATCGATACATTGTTAAAGTCAAATTGTGTAACGATATAGACCCTAATATGATCCTAATGCGTTATCGGAGAATAATTTGATTTGCGAGTTAGAAAAATATCCCCCAGTTCAGTTCCTGAATATCTCAGACTAGCTAGAGTTAAAATCAAGCTTTTGCACTACTAAACAAATGAAGGTTTGGAAAAACATGGATGCTGCAACTTTTCCGTCTGTCTGTGGGTTAAGGAACTCAGAGTTAAGGTTCTGAAGGACAAATCCTGCATCGTAAAGAGCTGTGTAAGTAACGATTGGTGAATGAACTTGTCATTCAACAAAACGATGGGTCTGTGGCTGTGTTCTTTTCAGGTCAAACATTCAGTGTTTATTTAAAACGCCAACTCATACCTGACAATTCATTAAATAAAGATGGGGATGTAATAACTGAGCATTGTGAAAGCATGGCTGGGGAATTAAATAATCCTTTAAGGTATAAGTGTTTGCTAGTGAAATGTTAGCGAGCCACTTTTCCTGCGTCTTTTCGTAAAGTTCTTAGTGCGAGGCTCTATATTAATCTCGTCACGAGGAATCCTAAAGTATCCATTAAAGGTTTTGCGATCGCTTAGAATACTTAAAACAACACATGCAAAAGGCATATTCAGACACGCTGCTCTGAACAACTAGCTTGGCTGACCACCAATTCGTGATACGTATATGTAATGAGGTGGACGTGACGTCAATTGCAAACAAGCAATAGCTCCTTTAAGATTATGGGACTGAAGTGAAATGCCGAAATACACTCCTCAATCTGGTTCCATATTCTGTCACTATGCCTTGCAATGCATCCATTTTTCACAATTTGGGCATTGAAATTAATAAATGTCCTGTTACACACGCAACAAAAAAGCATAGGTTTTTCTAGAGGCGCGTTTCAGGGTTGTCTTTTGGAAATGATTTTACCCTATAAACCCTCACTGCCGTTCCAGCACTACAACCCCGGCCTGTGGAACATCCTGGAGGAGCACAGGGCCATGGAGAACGTTGAGCAGGCTCAAGACACACCCTTTAGGATTAGCAAGTGACTATTTATATTACATAAATATCATTAATTAATTACGGTATGTATTATTTATTATATTATTTTTCATAGTGTTTGAGTTGGTGAATTGACCAATACACCAACCAACCCCAGAAACCTCCTAGGGCTCCTTCAGAAAAAGCACTTGAGATACTAAAAACGTACACAACTCTCACCTTTAAATGAAATTATACATAGAACTTTAATATGACACAAGGTGGTATAGTTTATGGCATATTAAAAGTCCCTGGCTCTAGGCTTTCACTCTGCACTGCTACATTAGTTCTGTGTATTGTTACTCTTTCAGCCTCCTAGCAACGCCAACGCACTGCTGCCCCTCAGCCCCACTCCCTGCTTAGTGCCGTTCACCTGCCTTCTCCTGAGCACTTACCCGTGGCTCTACATTTTATGCTAAATGCTTTACATGTCCTGCGAGAGCATCTAAGTCAGGATACATTAGCCTCACTTGTGGTTTTCATGGGAGCGACTGATGATCTGGCCCCTCCCTTCTCATCCGCATTCTGTCTCTTCTCAGGGATAATAATTACGCCTTCCTGCCCGCTATACCAACAAGGGGTCTTCTGGGAAACGAGTGGGTGGGGTCCTAAGAAAAATGCTAAACAACATGTTGACAGGACTACAGTTTTATCAATAAAGTGTTGTTAGCCGGCTGTGCAAAGGAAGGTTTCTGACCCATCATCTGTACTTCTTAGCAGGTACAGATGAGTGAGAAACCTTCCTTTGCTTTGCTTTGCTTTGACAACTTCCAGAACGACTGAGAGCTTACACAAACTTAACCGGCTGTACTTACTGATCTAATACAAGCGTTTCTCAAAACTAAAATAAAACTGCTATGTAAACTTAGAATAACATATTGGAGCCAGAGAGGTAACGATGATGAGCATTAAAAACAATTGCATAGCACAAAGATTCCTTCTTCAGCTGAGAACACACAGATGATGTGTCTCTTTTAACTCTCCTGAGCAGGGTGGGCCGAGTGTATATAAAACAATTGTAATGAGATTCAATAGCCCATTTCTAACCCATAGGGTCCCCAGCAAAAATAATCACACTGTCCAATTCATATTTTGTATTCATACCCTGTCCTATTCAAATTTTTTGACAAAATAAAAATATTTAAAAAAACATCACTTAAAAGTTTGTTGAACTCACCTGAACAATAGGAGGCGTCCTAGGCTTGTTCCTTAGTCTTTGTCCCTTACCCCATATTGATCACAACTTCTGATGGTAAAGGTGTCAAAGCCATCTGGAAATCGACATCTCCTGAAATTAGATTTATTTCATTTATTTTTCTATCTATAAATAGATTATTGTTTTTACCAATCAATTATTTCAAGTTACAATTGTGAGAAAGCAGGGCTCATATTCTTTTCTCAGATTTATGTAAAGAACTATATTGGTTTAGTATTGTCCACAGCGCAAATAATGCATGAATGCATTGTATTGAACTGTAATCCAGGCCGTTCCACAGATGACCCCCCTGACAGAAACATTCAGCTGAAGCATGTTCTGTGTCATAGTCTGGTGTCTTATCTCTCAACACTTTTGTGCCAAGCTGCAGCCTGCCCTGTCTGAACTGCACTACACTTCAAAAGTGTTCAAATGGTAACCTTGAAGTTACAGATGGGTTCCAAATCCGGATGACCAGATCCCAGGTCTGGAAAACCACACACCAGAGCCCCTCAGTAAGAAGGTTGAACCTTGTCTGTTGCAGCTTAGATGCACACCTTTTACAGCTCACAACAGAGCCCAAAAGCAGCACTTTTCAAGCTAATCATTTTTGCTATAGAAAGGGGCACACCTCACTGTTTGCAAATGTATAGATAAGCAACACCATTCAACTTTGAATGATGGCAAACAATATGCCTTGATTACAACATTAAAGTAAACCTGTTTATGTGAGACACAGGAGAACATTAACCTGCTAGTTTGGCAATTCTTCCAAAGTAGAATTGCATGAGTGTTTGAATCCAGAACATTCTGTACAGTAACCCCGACTGCCAACAAATGTTTCCCGACATTACTTTTATTTCATTCTGCAATTGGGATTAGTAGTCTAATCTCTTATAAAGGTTCCAGGGTTCTACCGTTTGTCTGTTTTACATTAAGTTTATGAAAAAAGAAACAGGGGCCAACATTAAAAGAACATAGAATAGAAATAAAACATTTTGCGGTGACGTGAAACACAAGTCGGGAAACACAGTGCAAGCCATTTAAATGTAAGTACACAGTTTTGTTTCAACTGATGAGAAACTGCACTTCATTGAGGTGTTGAAATACTTTACTGAGCTTCTTTTTTTGCAAATATCTTTCCAATAAACACATGAGTCACCTTTCTGAAGTCTTGCATGAGTAAATGTATAAACATGGGCAGAAATGATTGATGATTGAAGGTGAAGATGTCCTTAAGGCCCCCTCTTTGAGTTGAGTTACTCATTAGTCAAACAAAACACATCAACCAAGCTGTTAATACCAAAGACGATTATAATGATCAGTTCTTACAGGACAAAAAACAGATCTGTCATTCATAAAAAGAGCCAAATTATTAAACATTTTCGGTTTTAAATAACCAATGAAAAGAAAGTTATATAATGGTTGAGTTAGATTTCTAGTTTTGTAAATCGCCAAAGCCCTCTCCAGATGAGATAGAGAGCAGCTGTGAGTGATAGATAAAGAGACAATAATCTGCAGCACAAACACAAGATGTATCTAGGGCGCTTGAAGACATCAGGTATTTATTTATTTAACAGACAGACAGACAGACACAGACAGTTTGTGACCTCTTGTTACTCACATGACAAGATAAAAATTTTTTTTTTTAATGAAAACAGTAATGTTATAGTCTAATTTCTTACCAGGATTTACCGCTATACCGGTAATTGTGACATCCCTAGACAAGACTAATAGAAATCAGATATTGCGGTCAAACTTTGCGGTCATATTTACTGCACAGCAAATCATTTTTAATAAAAAAAAAAAAAAAATAGAGACAAGTCATAAACCCTGGTCCTGGAGCTGAATGACGGTGTGGGTCACAATGAGTAACTTACTCAACTGGTTCGCTGTCAATTTAAATAAATACTCTCCCACAACCGACTACAACAAGCCACATTACCATATAAGATGGTAGAGGGACACAAAGACCATAATAATCCCCCTTCTGCGCCCTTAAAATAGACAGGAATTTCTCATTATCAACAAATACTTGTCACTCCAGCTCCACCAGCAAAAGGTCACCTCTGTAGTCAACTGTTTCACTGTAATCTTAAGTGTTGTAAGAGCTGTCGACTCGGGCAAATGCTTAATGCACTGCACAAACATGTCACAGTTAATCCATTCACATGACTCAACTGTTTGAGCAGTGGATGAGCAATGAAATGTATATCTAATGTAGCCATGTGCTATCCCAGTGCAGGACAGTATTAGATGCATTTACATAAGTCAGTGAGCGGTAAGATCCTTTTTCATTGGGACAATGTGCATTGGATTGCATGTTGATTGTGGATTTTAGCTTTGGGCTAGAATCCATCAGTTGTGCCACAGTTGCACTCACAAACACACACTCATTCATCCTAAACTATTGTACATGTTTTTCAGTGGTCGGGGAAACCGAAGCACCCGTACGAAAGCTGTGCAGACACGGAGACACAGGGAGAACATGCAAACTACACCAAAAAGCCCCCCATTTAACCACTGTGCAACCGTGCTAGGTTACACCAAGCTTAAGAAAATACAAAATAAAAATAATTACCATGAATTACATCATACAAATAACAAATTATATAAAACTGAGAATATACTCAAATGGCCAAAAAGAAGACTGCTGTTTGGCTGTCTCGGCATTATTTCTGTGGTTTTACATTTCTGTTTCCTAATAATACTCTGAGTATGGAAGCAGAGCAAACAAGAAGCATAAACTACAAAGAGCCATTTATCTTGACTTTGTGTGCTTGCGTGCGTTTCCATTTTAGTGCAAAAGTATCACTTCCATTAGCAGTTTCTGAGGTTAGCCAATAATTGGTCATTTGCGCCATGAGTGACTAGTTAATGGATTAGAGGCAGTGCACTGTAGGTAAGAAGATAATACTTTTTATACTGTTGTTAGCAAATATCTTAGAATAGAAAGTATATTATAGTAACAGGGCTTTGATGCCCTAAGGTCATCAGGAAGGGTGTTCCACAGACGGGGAGCAGCAGAATCAAAAGCTCTGTCCCCTATTGTCTTGAGGGTGTAATGATCTGATCGTTGAGGTCTGTGATGTGTGGGCATCTCTGTGCAGACAGAGGAGGATGTACAGGCGGAGATGGGGAGTCAGTGAGTGGGGGGTCAATAGGACCCTGCCAGTGCTATAGGCTGTAAGATAAAAAGTTGGGGCTGATATTTTCTAAAACGTCAACAGATTGTTTCGCTCATTTGCCACATTTTTTAAATAATTTTTTTTTTAATTTTAAAAGTTGGCCAATCCTTCATTGTATTTATAGATCAGTTGTTTGGATCCCGATCAATGTGATTTTTCATACATTTGTCCAAAACAAACCTCAAGTGATTAAAAAATTTTGTAAACAAGTCATCATTTCCTTCTGCTGTCAATTTTATTTTATGCATGCTTCTTAAAACAATTGATTCTGAAATGTTGACGACCATTTCCATAAATTGAATATTTGTGAATAAATTGATGAACTTTACTCTAATTCATGTGCATTCTTAGAAAAGTCTGAAGCATGACTACACGGTTAGTAATGCATTATTCCACTTAAATGTCCACTTTTCCTCCGCTCCAACAGAGCAGGGAGAATGTAGCTAAACACTGATACCTTGGTTTTACTGCGACATTGAATTTTCTTGAAGACGGCTGCAAACTAAAAAGGATCTGAGAACATCCATCCATCCATCCATCAATCCATCTTCTTCCCCTTAATCCATTTTTGGGTTGGGGGGGTGGCAGTCCGAGCTGCACCCAGTACACAGAGCACCAGCCCCTCACTGATCCTCCTGCAGGTGGTGAGTCGACAGGAGCTGAGATCTTTCAGTTGGGGCTTAGGGTAAAGTGGGGTTAAGGGTCTAGTCCAAGGACACAACAACAGCAGTCATCAGTGGGAGTCGTGAAGTAGGTCTTATGGTGGGCTCGAACCCACGACCTTTAGGCTCAAAGGCCAATGCTCTACCAACTGAGCCACTGTCGTACCTGGATCTGAGAAAAATTGCGTTTATATTAATAGAGATCTGATAAATTTAATTTTGAAATTTGCTCTGTGTAGCGACACTAACCAGCTCAATTCAAGGTGTCAATACTTTTACCTTAACTAAATTATTAATAACCCTCTAGACTTTGTTTGTCTTTTTCAGAAATTTGATGTGAAACATACAGTTTCAGGGCTTCCCTTGTTGTCTAAGAAATAGAGGACTTAAAATCAAAAGCAAATAATATAAAAAGATGTAAGAAAATCATTATGAGAGCACTGGCCGCTATATAGAAAGTCTCACAGATTCAAGAGCTCATGTCAATTCTGCTACTTTGGCAAAAAAAAGGGAAAACTTTTAAATGTATCTATCCCTCTACTTGATTTAACTTTAACTTCTAACTTGATTCAGATTTTTCCCCACCACCTCTGATACTGGCACTACACACAGGGAGTCTTTTGTGTTGGCAGATTAGTTCACTATAAAATCCACTTCCAGTTATGTGATAAGGGGATCAGGGACGTCCAGGTAAAAGCATTCATACCAACTTTCTCTTGCATGGCCCAGTTTCAGGCTATTTTAACACAAAGACCAGCTGAAAGAAGATTGCTGGTTTAATTTAAATGTTGGCCAATATACATCTAGAGGCTCATATGTTTAACTGACACAGGCCTAATGGGGACAGCCCATAATTAGCACAGCCTCATTTAGACTGACCTAAAAATGAAATTAAACTACACTTTAAATTACGGAAAGAGGATGTAATTTATCTGATCATGGTTGTTGAAACACAGAATAAACAGACTGTCCAAACTAAACAATATAACAAACATACCACATGCAAGACAGGTTTTTTTCCCCCAATGTTATTAATTTTCAAATGAAACCTTGAAGTGAAAAAGGGGGAGGTGAAATAGAGGTCCAATATAGCTTTAAAATAAATAATATAACAATGTTTGATACCGATTATCTTGTTCTAAAATCCACACGCAGATTCTCATGAGTAACTTTTAGTAGATAAAATGGGAAATGACAAACCACAGCAGACAGCAGACAACACTGTGCTTCACTAAAAGCAGAACAAGAAAATTACACAGCCACTTACAAGTAGCAGCACCCCAAAAAAGGAGGTGCACCACAAGATTGGGAGATATGCTTGTTTGTTGTGTAAAAAACTAGCTTGACAGGAAAAACATTACCCCTTTCACATAGATTGTGTGATATACTTTATGTGTAAAATAATAACGATATGAAGATTATTTTTACACGATCAAGGAAACTTCATTCTGCGTTTGTTGAGGGGAAAAAGTGGCTTGGGTATTTCTCTGTCTAAACATAGCAGCTCACCCTCTGCAGAGCAACAGTGGAAAATGTAACTCATGTGATGGGGAAACATTTTTATCTTGCCAAACTCAGTATTGGTGGCGTGGACACATAAGTCGCAGGGCTCGTCTCTCTAGTCCAGTGCAGTATCAACGAAACTTTGGCTCGCTGGTGGCTATATGCTCCATCAAACATACCTGAAATAACTGTTCAGGTAAACCTTCTTTGGATCAATCCAGGACGCACGTGTTAGTCCTGTATTATACAAGAACCTTCTAATTATGCGTAGAAAGAAGCCAAAAAACCAGGAGAGCCTGTTTATCATATTTATACACAATAACAGTGAAATGACTTGATGATAACAGCTGCTAACTAACGCGCGGCAGCAATAAGTGTAGCCAACTTCAGTAAGATCAAACTTCTACAGGAGAGTCGCCCACCTTCTCACGTTCGTCTCCACACTTAACTCAGTGCATAGCGGCGGAATTAGTTGAGTTGATCCATGCGAACTCCTCAGCAGCTCCACGGAGACTCTGGTGTGTTTTTGTGCTTGTCGAGCCCCGGGTCTTCATGTGATCACAGCATACAGACCTGCACCGCCCCGTGCGCGCTTTGGCCCCCAGGGGGCGGAGTCCACATGACGTCACTCCATGAGCTTGATAGGCAGGTTTTTAGGTCTAATTATTTCACTTTCAGGCTTTGTGTACAAGTGGCATCTGAGGAGCACAAAACAGTAACCCACCAATCACGTCGCTGCTCTTTTGGTATGTAGTGTGTAAGCCTTTTTATTTTTTTTATTGGCATCTGTATTTGACACATCCTGTTAAATGGAAAGTACAGGTAACTTTGTTGACCAATTTTGACCATGAATACAAAACAGCATTTTCTTCCATGTGTTAAATTAAAATACCTACTTGGTCCCACTATACCCTATACTTTACCCTTCTCTTCTCTACCCTATACTCTTCTCTATCCTACTAATGGTTCTAATGAAACCAGGGCCACAATTTTCCAGCTCACCCAGTCACAGAGCACCAGCCATTGTAATAATGGCAATTAAAAGTGGTGAAATTATAATTTTGTCTTTCACCAATGTTGGCCTACGTTATGGCATTAATGTCCTTAATTATAGAATCGGTAATGTCACAAAGATGTTTTGACACAGTGGGAAGGCTTCTGATTGTTAATTGGGTGATTACAAAATGACACTGGTAAATCTTATCTGTTCTGTTCCACTCTGGAGGCTGTGTCTCAGGCCTGGTTTAGACGGAGACGCTACAACCGTTAAAAAGTAGAGTTGGGTATCGGTTTGGCCTCCTGTTTACATAAAGGCGGTGTTTCAGGGGGGTGAAAACGCAAGCATTGAGAAACGGCCTACAAAGTGAAACAGAACAGATACGCTGCTCAGCAGGGGGCTGTTTCACAGCTGTGTGAAGAAAAACATGTGAATAATCTGCATGCAATAACCTTACTTCCCTGCACATACATTTGAACATGCGCAGAGAAAAAACATAAACAGCAATGGCGCTGGATCAACTAATGCTACATGTGCTTTGAGAACTACACAAAGGAGAATTCCCTTTTTTGTTCATCCAAACAAAACCATGCAAAACTCTAGATTTAGTTTCCATTTTTGCAGCTACTGTTAAATGCAGAATGACGTTGGTGCATTCTTTCACGTCTTTGCTGTGGCCTGAGGAGGATGTTGTTGAGGAAGTGGTTAACTGCTGGGGGTCACGCGTGTCGTGTTATGAAGTTCCACTGCCCACAACTGGCCGGGTACTAGAACTACATTGTTTTCCATAGCCATCTAAACGCTCTGCAGGAGCCTGGTGGAGCCTGGCTTTTGTTTAACAGTGTGGGAACACTTATCTGCTACATTGTTCCCATATTAGCAGTTATAACCTTTATTATTTCTACTATACTAAAGATAGCCACACATGTAATTTTATCATCTGTTAAGAAAAAGACAGATATTTGTATATTATTTTGGTAAAAGTAGTATAAGGTGTGGTGAGCTTAGCAAAGACTGCTTCGTAAAGGTTAGCAAATACATAATTTATCACAATAATAGGCCTTCCAATATAAGTTATGATCCTTGCCAACACATGTATGGGGCTACATTCAAATACACTATTCAATGATATCACAACTATAAAACACCCACAATTTGTTTAATAATTAAATTTTGTATACAATACATCGCCTATCGTTTGAAAGATCTGACAAAACAATATATGCATGATATATGACACAGGATAGATTTGATGTTAATTGCATTTGATTCTCATCACATTGTTCTAATGAGTGCCATTAGCGAGCTGTATCAGTCTGCCCGCAGTTTGACAATATGCATTGACCTGCCTGAGCTAAGGGTAAATGCCTGTCCCTGCACCAATCACAGAGAGTAATGGAGCAGTACCTGTTCCAGCCCATGACACTAACTTGAGGGGATAGGATGTCAGGGAAGGCGTGGGTGTGAAAGGCCCAACGAGCGGCCAGGACTCAGATGTCCTTCAGCTGGCCTCCCAGAGTCTCAGGTGGTCACTGAAGCGTTGTTCTCTGTAATCACCCAAGGGTATCTCCCGCCTCCAAGCACACCAGCACTCAGATCCCCTTGTACCACCCAATTGTCTGTATTATCATTAATTAATACAAGACCATAGTATGGCTCTGTGTAAGAAGTGCAACAAACACATTAATTGGGACATATTATTGTCTTCTCTCGCATTAGTCGTCTGTTACGGAAGTCTAAATAAATTATGCGTCTCTATGTGTTTGCTCTATGTTCATTAGGTGACAAATGAAAAAAAAAAGTTAAAAATGAAATTATTACAAAGGAAAGTAGGGCTTTTATAAACTGGTGTTTTTACTTTTCTGAAAAACCATGCATTATACTGTACACAGTTTATAAAAACTATGGGTTGTTGGTCGAAGCCTCAAAACGGAAACTGGTTCACTTCCGACATCCGGTGCATTTCTTGACTTTTGTCATTAGTAAAATACACATAAGACTTCTTGGGAAGAAAAGTGAAAAGGGAAGTTTGAATTGAATTAGAACAGTGACTCATATGGCAGATCACGATGATTCAGCACTGGGCCACGCTAATCACATGTCTTTCTTCCTCTTTAGGGAATTGGGAACTGTTTAAGCAAGAAAAAGGAACATCAACAAATGACATTTACCGTAACTCTTGTTGGACTGCTTTGTATCCACTTAGTTACTGCATGTTGGCAGTAACTAATTCCAACTTTCTGATAAGTGCATAAGAGCATCATCACCGATGACCCTAAGTGAAGATACACTGTGTGGCACTGAACTGGTGGTGGTTTCAGAATCTGTATCTGAAAGAACAACAGGCACTGTCAATTCCTATGATAATCAATGGCTATGAAAAAACATCTTGATAATCTGCAAAACAAAAATATAAAACATTCTGACAGTAACAGTTAAGGCATGACAAAAATAGTTTACATTTTTTTTTCTTTGAAAAAGTAAAGTGAAAAACATGGCAAAAGTCTACTCACCACATCAAACTGCTGTAAACTGCCTCCAAGGTCCAGGAAATTCCTAAGACATCTCTAGGCAGCCACTCATTGTTTTTCAAAGTCACTGAGACAGAGTTCCTCATAAATGTTTATTATACTTCTGCTTATATGGAAATTGTCCCCGTTCTGCAAGAGAGGCTCTGGATTTAATGAAAGTAAGAATTGTTGAACCATGTCCATGTTGAACCTTTTCTTGATTATAATGAAGCAAATAAGAACAACCAAATGTCACACATTTAGCTGACTTTAAAAACAATTTAAATTCAGAACAATGGTTTAAAAGGCCATAGAGATATCGAGAGATCCACAATGCAATGTTATAATATAAATCATTACAACGTTTGTCTGTAAATTAGTCCCGTTTTAGCTCCATCCAAACATAACTGAATTCATTGCATATAAAAACCTACCAAAATTCATCATATCCAAATGTTCCCAAAAATATGGATATCGTCTTAATTTTTATAATGAACACTTCCCCATCACTTTCTCTGTGCTGAGGGCATCACTCTCTTTCTTTCACGTACTTATCTTTTAAGTACCATCAAGGCATTTTCCTAGAACCTCCAAAATGGGCTCAATGATATATTTTAACATTTGAATGAGGACCTGCCCTCTGATTATTAAAAAAAATGTCTTTCACAGAAAACATGTCCTGAATTAGTAAGAGGAGCTCCTAACCATCACAACAGTTTCATCTGGAGTGTGATACTCCAGATGAAACTGTACAGGGGGGTGATGGGAAGGAGCTAACACCTTCAATTGTGCTAGTAAGGCAGACATTACAACAAGAGATAAAATACTATTGGTTAAGGAGTCAAATATCAAATACACATCTAGTGTTTCATTTCAAATGGAACAAGTAGAAATTCTTGATTTGATTCGAACATAAGCTGAACTTCCACAGTTGCAGTACTGTTTTTTGTCTTTGCAAAAAAATATTTGTTAATTTGTAAAAATGAGGAAAATTCCATCATACAAGCATTTTGTGATTTGTATTTGTGTAACAATAGGCTCTTTGTGGCTGTGTAGATCCTGGCAGTGATGTCCTTGTGTCGTGTGACATTGGGTCCCGAGTGTAATCCATTGGTTTCTCCGGCATAGACCGGACTGTAGATGATTTTTGTCAGTGTGTAAAAATCAAAAGGTAATCAGCTCATCAATATGTACATGTGCATCTGCGGTATTTCCCTGGATGAACTGGAAGTGTGTGTGGAGAGAGAAGTCTGGGTGTCTCTGCTTAGACTGCTACCCCCGCGTCCCGACAACGGATAAAGTGGATGAAAACAGATTGATAGACGTAATATTATCAATGTGAGTCGTAGGCAAGGCAAGGCAAGTTTATTTATATAGCACAATTCATACACAAGGCAATTCAAAGTGCTGAACAAAATAAGAAAGCATTAAAATCATAAATAATCACAGAACATAAAAAAGAAAGATAAAAATATAAAATCCCTCAGTTGTATGCACAGCCAAACAGATCCTGTAATGGTCATATTGATTACCATTTTTATAAATATCAAATGTATTAAATATGTTAGCTACAAAAGCCACAAAAGCACTGGGCAGTCATCATCAGCAAACATTAACACGTCTATCGGAATGATTTAGGGAAATGATGGTGAAGTGCCAAGTCTGAGGACACAACAAGAATCCACAGCCTCATCCCAACAGTCTACAAGCACAAACCAGGCTTCCTCGAGCTCAGACTCTATGATCTGCATGTACAACAATGTTTTTTGGTTGTTTTCCCCCTATTTGTTTGTACAAGAGCAATTGACCGTTATTGGGTATATCTGTGCAACCTCTACATTTCCTGGCGCTATACTTTATCTTGTCACACCAAAAAGTAAAAGTCAACCCTAAAGATACAGAGTAAATATTTGCTATTCAGAGCTAGGTCTCAAAGGTGGCATTGGTGGTGTAAGTATAACAAAGAAAGGTTATGTATTAGTAAATTAGTGAGTTGAACTATTACTTATTAAGCACAGTGAGGGTCAGTACCTTGTATCACGTTACAGTGTATGAAATGCATTGCTCTGAGCAGATGATTACACAAAGTCAATACATCGAGCCAAAAGTGTGTTCTCAAAGCACACACAACTGTCAATCATTAGCAATTAGCTCTCATGGCCTGGGACAGGGTGTGGGGAATGATCATGCCTTGATCATGAGCAAGAGTTTTACAGGTTTAATTCACATGCCAGCCTGGGCTTTTCTGTGTGGAGTTGGAATTATTCTCCTATGTCTGGGTGGGTTTCCTCTGGGCACTCCGGTTTCCCTGTGTGCATCTGACTTATATTTCTGAGAGAACATGCTGGCAGCCTGGTCTTGAGCTGGGGGGTTTACGACTCATGCCCGGATGACAACTACTTAGTGAGTATTGAAACTAGAGTGACTCTTTGTGCTTATCCCCTTTTTGAAACCACAGATTCACTTGAGACTAACAAGTCAGTTAAACAAGAAGGTTTGACTGAAAACAAATGACATTGCATTATTTTGTGCCCTAACCATCATATGTGAAACTGAAACATGACTCTCCATCAGGCATTGTTCTGTACTTCTGCCTCTTTTGAAATAGAGATGACAGTGTGAACAAAAAAGATTGGTCTCATTTTAGGATGGATAAAAATGAGAAGTGATCTGTTGCTGGGTGGATGTTTGGTCTGGTATTGGTCCTAGTCTGTGTAAATATGGTGCCTTCACAGACCACATAGTGTGGGAAATAACAACACCATTCATTACAGTCTGGTCTTAGTCTAAGTCTTCCAAAGATTAGAGGAAGATAGAATAAACAGCAATAAGTGCATAAGTCATTGCAGTTACTCAATGAAAGTAAAATGCAGGTGTACCAGTGTAGGCACATCGTGATGCCGTCTGTCGACAGCTTATCAATCCTTGAACTTTATTACAGACTCTAGGTCCAATTTAAAACATACTGACAAACAAGACAGTTATGACTTTAAGAGACAGCCATACCAGCTTGTTGTTTCTAATGAAATGAAAGTATTTTGCAATTGCCACCAGGTGACATTTTATTCGATCTTATTCAATCAATCAATCAACTTTTACTTGTATAGCGTCTTTCCTACACAAGGCAATGCAAAGCGCCTCACAACCCATATCACATCATGCATAAATCATCAAACATTAGAATCTACATAAACATTCAAAAAACACACACAAAAAACACATTAAGATATATTAAAGACATTTAAAAAAATCACACAGTAGTTATTCCATTACATATTACATTCTCAACCTTATATGACACGCTTTCCACCACACCACCTGCTTCCTATCATATTATTTTTTTTTTAAATCCATGAATCATTAAAGATCAAGATAACTTCTTGTCACAGGAAATTCCTCTGACTCCTACCACTAAATGTAATGAATTGATGACAGCCACTGTGCGACTGTGGCCTCTTGACAGAATCTAGGTTCTGTAATTAGACATGATTACTGCCATCATCACACATTACCGGAATGCACTCACCAGTTATAGAAATGCTGATGATTCTCCTTATCAATTCTTGAATTAGGAAGTCTTGGATATTTTACTTTTAGTGATTTAAGTGACCTATGAACTGTTGTGTTTAGTCAACTAAAACATACTCATGCTCTTTGCTTAAGCTTTCTTGTTGTATTAATGTTTGGATGATTTCCTTTTTGAAAGATAAATCACATAATACTGATAATGATAATAGTAAAAATAAGGATTATTTTTATGATAGCAATAGTTATCATAATACTGATCATTATCATTATTATTATCATTATGGACACTTCACATGGCAGTATTCATTTGTTCTATATTCTACTTTGCTTTGTTTCTCTTGTGGTAATTCCGCAGAAATATAGAGTTCTGGTGCATTGGTGCATGTCTCTGTTTGTTGTGGTTGTCTGTGAGACACTCTCTGAGGAAATGGCTCCTCCCCAGCCCCTGAGCTATAGCAACAGCAATTCTGTGAATAGGTAATAAAGATAACTTTTTTTAACAGAACTGAAAAGCAAAGAGGAATAGGAAGCTGGTGTCCGAAAGAAGTTGAATATTGTTCGCATATACACATAAACTGAGGATTTACAGTCCCATTTGGCTTGGAGTTTTTGTACAGTCCAAAGCAACCTTACTCATTGGAAACCTGTTTTCATGCTATGAGATGTCAATGCCTCTTATGTTGGATAAATACTTACGTTTGGAGGATTTAACTTAAAATTAGATTTCCTAATAAAAACAACAAAATATTAACGTTTAATTAAAGCTGTGTACCACACAATCAAACTACAATGAACTATGTCCATGTAACTTGTTCCTAGTTCCTCGTTCGATTCTTTGTTTTTATGCACACTTTTGTAGGTCTCATCAAATAAAAGATAGGGTAAGCACTCAGATGATATAAAGATGGCATGTCTGTTGGAAAAAAACTTAAATGATTAAATGGAGTAGGGATTTGCACATCAATACCTACAGATCGGGTGCGTAGAAGGAGAGGCCTAATGTGCCTAATAGCCTAATGTGATAGAGAGAAAAATTTCCACAGTTGCAAGTTAAAACTAATTCATTAGAAGTGCGAAGTTTTGGCATTATGCCTTCATCAAGCAAACATGTTGAGAAAAAAGTAAAAAATGTATGAAACAAAAGGAACTCCAGTTATACTGTACTTGGCTAGCTCACTCACTGAACTGCAAGTGCACTCATCTGCACCTCCAGTTTAGCAGTTTCCGGAGTTCAACCAGGACAAAACGTGGTTTTCTCTTCTCACGCTTTTAGGGCCAAATAAAAAACATAACATTGTGAAAAAAGATAACATGCCAATTGATGCTTAGAATAAATATATGAGGAGAAGACGAAGGTCCTTTATTCGTCCCACAATGGGGAAAGTTCAGTTTGATGTACTGTATACCACACATATACTGTACGTATACACATACACATCAAGATAAGCAGCGAACATCACTTCCGTGCTCCTTAAGCAAAGTGGGGTTAAGTGTCTTGCCCAAGGACACAACGGCAGCAGACATCAGTGGGAGTCGATGGAGAAAGTCTCGTGGTAGACTCGAACCCACAACCTTTGGGCTCAAAGACCAATGCTCTACCAACCGAGCCAATGTCGCCTCCAATTTATCTTAATTAGTGAATAAATATTGTATAAAGAGATACTGTATACATTTATGTTGTTCTAATTCGTATCCAGTATGATTGTTATTATCCACACCACAACTTTTTATTTTCATGCTGAAAAAAACTTTGTGGTTCATCTCTTATTCTCTAAGGGAACTGAAATTCTCAGAGGGCACTTTTGAATCCCCATAATGCTGGAATAAAAAGTGTCCCATGTTAAAATGTTGGTGTTGTAAGGCAAGGCAAGGCAAGGCATGTTTATTTGTATAGCACAATTCATACACAAGGCAACTCAAAGTGCTGAACAAGATAGCATTAAAATCATAAATAATCACAGAACATTAAAAAGAAAGATAAAAATATAAAATCCCTCAGTTGTATGCACAGCTAAACAGCACAGTTTTTAACTTGGTTTTAAACATAGTCAGAGAGGAGGCCTGTCTCACATCTTCAGGAAGAATGTTCCTGTGTAGTTGTGTGATATTTGTGTGAGATTTGGTAGGAGAGTTTACGTTCTCCCAAACAAAGAAAGAATTGTAGAACACACAAGCTAAACCCCTAGAGAGGGAAAGTGAGAATGCAGCAACATTGAGCCAAAAATAGTCATGTACATCGAAAGCCCGCACAAGAATGCAGGGCTCTGATACCACTTGTCCTGTGGGTGACCTCAGGAAACTTTATCTGCTCAGTGCAATCAGAAATGTGAGAACAACCTGCATACTTTTAGGCTAAAGGCAGACTGGTAGAAGCTGATGCAAAATAAGCCCCCTTGCCCACGCACAGTGGTAAAGGCTCACATGTCTGTTTATCATGGTGCTGCTGCCAGGTCCCACCAGAACCACACACACACACACACACACACACACACACACACACACACACACACACACACACACACACACACACACACACACACACACACACACACACACACACACACACACACACACACACACACACACACAACACACACACACACACAACACACACACACACACACACACACACACACACACCCACACACACACACACACCACACACACACACACACACACACACACACACACACACACACCACACACACACACACACACACACACACACACACACACACACACACACACACACACACACACACACACACACACACACACACACACACACACACACACACACACACACACACACACACACACACACACACACACACACACACACACACACACACACACACACACACACACACACACACACACACACACACACATTCAGTGCACTGACATGTATTTACCAGTAACAGTTGATGCATAGAAGCTGTCATGGTTTCGTAATATGAATTATTACCTCTAACTGGTTTTGTAATGTCATAAATACACACACACATTCAGTGCACTGACATGTATTTACCAGTAACAGTTGATGCATAGAAGCTGTCATGGTTTCGTAATATGAATTATTACCTCTAACTGGTTTTGTAATGTCATAAATACAATGGACACCTTTGTTACCAGTGTCTTGTCCTGCATATTAAGCATGTTCAGCAACTGGTAAACCAAAAAACAGAATTGTGTGATTGTAATTCTGATGAATTCGGACATTTTGGAAAAGACAAAAGATGGAAACATTATAAGAGATTGAAATCAATAACTGAAATAAATACAAGATGTACGTATTTAATAAAAATGTGATGATAACGTTTGTGAAAAGCCAGCTCACTATAGAAAGTGTCATATTTATGAGCTCATGCAGCAATTCTGCTGCTCCCTAAAAGGTCAATGTATGCGTGACCATTGCGTAGGTTGATGTTTTTTCTAATTAATAATAAATAAATCAGTTTGATGAGAAAAGGCCAAATATGATTTGTGCATTATCTGCTTGTGTAAAGACATGTACATACAGTGAACTGGAGAATAATTGTGTTAAGGGATCACACAAATGTCATCGGACGTTGTGGATTTTTTTATCTGCGATTAATATTTTAGGTGTTTGTATTTGATATCTACGCAGTGTATGAAACAGCTCCATTACTATCTTGCTTCTCTTCTCTGAGAACAACAGTTTGCTGAAATCAACTTATATGAGCTTTTAAACATGTTCCAAAGCAGACCTGAGTTTTTTCAATCCACCCTAATATCAGAAACATGTAACTCCTCCATGTTGTGCCAGAGGCTCCAGTCTCAGTCCTGTAATACTACGATACTATGACTTCACACTCAGAGCAGTTTCCAGCCTTTTACAACAATAGTATTGAATATTCTCATTTCTGTCGCAAATTTTCCTATTGCGACAATGCTCCAGCTAAGCAGCATCTTCATTCACGCTGCATCCCTCCTCCTCCCCATCTCCGCCTCGTTCCGGGCCAGCTCTTTCCTCCTTTCCCTACCTACCATCACCAGGGTTTAGGCCCCGTAATCTCTGCTTCTTTCTGCAATTGAGCAGTGCTCTGTTGGAGTCCTAATCCTAACCTCGTTCTGTACAGCAGCAATAAATGTTTCTTGGAAATATTGTCCTCAGAGTCATACTGTATGTGTAATTTGTGTAGTGTTAGACTACTTGCCAACCAATATACAATTCTAATAACACCCATTTTTGGTCTGTTTGAGTCTCTCCAGATTGAAATAATGCATTCTTCTTTAACAATCAATCAATAAACGCTGGTCGCCACAGTCGACCAGCCATGCTGGTCGACTGTGGCGGCGTATTGTCCAGACTTAGTCACACGCTCTGAGGCCTAATCACCACTGACAAAGAACAGTCACACTATGTATCTGAGATTAGGAAGAGATGAGCCTGAAGAACAACATCAAGGTCTCTTTGTAACAGAACAGATCGATGGTTTACTGCTGCTGTGCGGTGGACATACGATAAGACTAAAATATGTGCATACTTTACATAGTTCTATTACATCTATCACTTCACTGACCACTTCCTCTGCTCTTTCCTCTTATATGCAGCGTCTAAGTCTATGTAAGGCTATTTGTTAGAGCAAAAAATATTGTGAATGTATTGTACTTGTACACATGTAATTATTAAATGTACTTGTAATTATACATATGACCTATATGTATCGTAAAAAAGGGCATGCTTTAATTTTGTTTTTTGGAACATGCAATTTGCAAATAGTATTATTTCATTTCATTTCATTTTTATTTTGTTTATTTCTACATTTTATTCACATCCTAAATAGATAAATGCTTAATTTTTTTTATAAAGATAGAAGTTGTATGGTAGCATATGTTACCATACTTATTTGGCACATGTTTTTGGGTGGAAACAGTGTTGCACTGAGGTTTATATTTAGGCTCCAATTAAGCTCCAATTCAAAGCTTCAACTGTGAGAGCAGTGGTTTGGAGGAGCTAATGAGTGGAGTCTGTTGAGTGGTGTGTCAGGCTAAAACACAAACATGTTGTGAAGTACTAACAGCTGAAGTGGGAGGTTATAGCCAACTCCACCCAGTGACTCTGGCCAGGCCATATCCTACCCTGCAAATATCAACCGAGGTTCCCATGTTTCCTATTGTCACTGTCCTCATTGGTCCACAACTGAAAATATCCGTGCAAATAGACATGATGAATACAAGACCTATAAAGCTAGCATTTTCAGAACACACACACACACACACACACACGCGCACGCGCACGCGCACGCACGCGACCGTGACCGCGCACACGCACCCGCACACACACACACACACACACACACACACACACACACACACACACACCAGAATATGTGGTTAGTCGTGTGCTAAGTGCCAGATTGTGATGATGTTTTCTTTACCACTCACAGTTGAAACACTGCACCATTCATCAGACGCCAGCTCAGAGAGGAGTCGAGTGGAAACAGGAGCCCCACGCGGACGCACAAAGACGCGTCTGTGCCTCTGTGCGCACTGGCGATGTTGGGAAGACGCTCCCGGGCCAGGTGAGGTGCAGCGATGTTCCAGCATAGTCACACCTGTACTACTTTATTCAAATACAATAGGCTGACCTTAAACCATAGCATCTAAAAAGGGGTGTGTGTAAATGGCTCAGTCAATAACCCAAAACTGTGTTAGACTAATGGATCGACTTGTTCAATGCTTCACGTGGATATCACACATGGATCTATAATAATATCACAGTACTTTGCAAAACGCCATTTGCGAATAAACAAAAAGCTAAAGAGCTCCATCTTGTGGACAAATGTGAGCAGCTTTTGTAGCTTGAGGTTGGAAGAGATTTGTGCGAGGGGAAAAGTACTTTTTTGACCGATTGTTGGGTATGTTTTCCATATTTGATATTTGCTACATGTACCACAGATAGTTTTAACAATGTTATCATTCTAATAAGTAATTGAATCGGCCCATATATCACCAATATTAGAAACATCTGTGGGTTTCCCCCGTTACATGTTGAAGCTGCATTTGCTTGAACTAAGAAACTAATAAGTATAATATTATGTTTATAGTAACTGTAAGCTAATTACACACATTTTCAAAGTATGCATTACACCACCTATATCACTCAAAAGTCATCTTTACAGTAACTAAACCTTTACTTTCTTTCTCAAAATTAATGATTTTATTTCCAAAGAATATTGTTAATACTATTCTTTCCAACAAAAGAAAGGTATAATACTAATACGGCCGACCTGTAGCTCCTGTGAAGCCCTGTACGCCTGTGCGTTGGCACATCATCAACTCTCCCTCATCCTTTCTCCTGCTCTGATCTCCTGCTGAGAGGCTCAGGGCATGATGGATGGAGAAGGACAAGAGACAGATGGGACATGACGGAGTTACAGGAGGTGAAGAAACGTGAGACAGTCAACAGTAAACCGATCACACTCTTGAATTTGATATTCCAATTCTTCTGCTGCAACTTCTCCAACTAAAATGTTGTAAATGGGAATGTGCAGAGCAGTAAGACTATTGTACAACACTCCCATTCTGCAGGTCTAATAACGCTGTGTTGACTTATCTTATTATTATTATTATTATTTATTTGTTCACAAACATAAGTTAAATCCACATCTACATCCACATTTTACATAAACATTTAGGCTTGTGAAGGGACTCCCATGAAGCACAACTTGGCTTATATGTAGGGGCCCCAATAACATTCACATGTCAAAAAACAGGACAACAACAAAAAGACATCCTCCCATAATCCCCCCACCCCAGTTCAATGCATTTAAGACTGCCAGTAGCAGTCATGCCTTACCCATGTCTGTCAAACATATACAGTCCGCTTCAACACACTCACATCAGTTCTGCAATAACATGGTACAGGAAATAAAATTAAAACCTTAAATACGCGTTAGTGCTCATTCATTCAGATCTTACAGGGACAAGACCAAAATAACATAAAATAGTAAGATGGTTGTCAGCTATAGGGGGTTCCATTATGCATAATGCAGAAGTAGTTTGTGCTTTAGATTCTTTTAAAAAAATATTAAGAGAAGATGATTCTTTTATGGAGCTGTCCAGCTCATTCCAGATCTCAGGGCCCTTGCATGCTACGCTGAAACTAGTGCACTTCAGCTCTAGTGTTGTGACTGTGGGGAGCAGAGATAACTGGGATGAGACTGGAGAGCCTAGCATTTAGATCAGGGGTGCTCAATACGTCGATCGCGATCTACCAGTCGATCGCAAAGGTAGTATTGGTAGATCGCATTAAATAAATGAAAAAATTACACATTCTAAACGAATATATACAAAAAACTCCGGGCAAAGTGGAGATTTTTGAAAACTCCGTTAATGCATTTGTGTGTAGACAGAGATAACCGGAGTTTTGCGTTCTCGCACGCCACAGTACCCCCCTAAATTCCTCTGATCACTGAAGCATGGATCATACTACCTTAAAAACTGTTCGCTGTGAGATGCTCGCAGCAGCGAACATCCTCCACATCAGAGAGCAGCAAAGTGATCGCGGGGACTCACGCTCGAAAACAACCAAACCAGGACTAAACCAGGACTAAACCAGGACTAAACCAGGACTAAATCAGGGCTGAGGACGGGGTCAGTGCTTGTAAACATACGTCTTACTCTTTACTCTGAGTGTCTTCTATGACTGTAAAAGTGCCGTTACCGGCGTCTGCATCAAAGCTCCGCCCACTTCTGTGTTTTTCCCCAACGCAGGACAGGACGTAAGAGACGCACATGTTTGGAATGTTACGAATGTGATTGATAACGTAGATGTGTGGATGCAAATTATTTTATAAACTGAGGAGGGGAAATATTTGGATTTAAAAAAAAACAGGCATGGCACATGGACATGGCACCACAGTCAAATGACATCTGTGTTTTACTCAGTAATGTTTTACTGACACTTAGGTGACTGCACATGCGCAAACAACCGCGCTCAGTGCAGGAAAGCTAAACCACGACAAACTTGTCAGCGAGTTACCACCAATTTTCCGGACTATGCATCTCTGGCCGATTCAATTCAGTGCAAGTCATCAGAGTAAACTCGGGTAATGACAAAAAATGTACATAGGTAATTGTGTTGTGCTATATTGGCTCATGCGGTTTTGCATGTACATAAACATACATTGTAGGTATAAAGAATATTTTTTGAAATAAATATATGATTTGCATTTTTGTAGTAGGTAGATCATTTTGACTTGATCCTTTTATAAGTAGCTCGCATGCTGAAAAAGTGTGAGCACCCCTGATTTAGATTGTATACTACATTATACATAATGCATGCGTTATGAAAACTGTTGCACTCAGTGAGCTTCAGTTGCTCAAACCTGTAAAAGAGAGGATCAGAGGGAACTAAGAAGATACACAACACTCTGACAGTAAACAGACATTTGTTTTTTTAGTTGTTTTGTGTACATTGAAGTCACTTATTATATGTGACAACTTAAATCTCTCTATGCACTTTCAGATCCACCCTCAGTCTCAGCTTGAACATTTTCAGACCTTTGTATGAGAACATACAGAGGTCTATAACTTTGCTAATTGCATAACATTTACTTTAGGGTTTGTTGTTTGTGACATTTGCTGCAGACTTTTCACTACTTGCGACAGGTGTGTTTAAGACAGCTAATCTGCAAATCAGATTGGAAGCTGCCATCATGTTGTCGTGTGAAATCCCACATACCATATGGCTCATCTGGTTAGGAGTGCCCTGGTCCAGTGAAATCACCTCTCCTTCTGCTGATAATGGGATGAGGCGCTCTCTCCCTTTAATCTTCTGCATCGAGTCTATACTGTAGGTCAGTGTGTGAAAGCTGCTGGACACAACTCGTGCTCTTCAGAGCCACTGGATCTTATGAAGAAGCTGACATTTTCAGAAGAAAATAGCGACAATTCATTGTTCCATCTCTGAGAAACAAAGAACTGATGGCTCTGTACAAAGATGTAAGCAAGCATTATTCTGAAGATGGTGAGGTAGGTGCAAAACTTTTTACTCAATATAGTAAACAGCAAATACATGAGAGCAGGGGTGTCCAAAAAGGGGCTCGGGTGGATGTTCTGAGATTTGGAAAATGTGCATTTTTTTGTTGGATTTTACTGAACAAGCCAGTGACACTGAAGGTCTTCCCCTTAGAAACACCAACTTTTTACATAAAATGCACAAATAGGTTTTGTGAAAATGGCATCATCAGGTCACATCCTGTCACAACTGTTGATTACTGACAAGTTAATGTAACATAATATCAGTGTTGGTGGTGTGAAGTGGTGAACGCATTGCTTTGTAAAGACTTGTAATCGGATGACATTTACTTACATATTACATTTAACTACAAAATACACTCAACAGTGCATTCTGCAGGTTTTTTTTAAATAATGCTGCCTTCTACAAATAAACAATCAGCCTGATGATGGGGAAATGGTATAGAGTACAGGAGTACAGGAGTGTGAGGTGTGAGGTTATTTATTAGTTACAATACATGCAGCGTCAATGACAATGTCATTATATTGTGGACATAGTTTTGAATGTGCCCGTATTGTTGTATACAAAAAACTTAATGGAATGTCTCCATCTGGGGAGAATAAAGGCTTATCTGACCTTATTTTGACAAAAGTAAACTGGAAGTTATGTAACTTTGTAACTTTCTGGATGCTCATGTAATACATTTGTTTAAAGAAACATTATTTTGTCAACAAACAAATTAGATATAATTTTTCAAAGGCATTTTGTGTGTTTGTGCACGTACATGTAACATCTGCATGAGCAGCAACAACAAATATAGAAATTCAAACATCAGTCACACAGTCACAATACCTGCTAAATACTAGTAAACAAACATTCATCACTATTCTACCTGTCTTCACAGGGTTTGTATGAGGACAAAGATAATGAGGCCAAAAGCAGAGGAAACATCCGCAGCTCTGTCTCTCTGGAGATCTATGGTCTACAGCGGGAGCAGCACAAACAGAACATGTACTTCTCCAACCAGGAGTACTACAAGAGGCTGGAGGAGCTCAAGAACACCCACCTCCGAAACATTGCAGAGCTGGAGCAGATCTACATCACTGAGGCAGTGCGGCGCTACAACAGGGAGGGAGAGCGACTGACCACAAGCAAACAGAGCAGACGACTCTTCAGGTAACGCACACCAACAAATCCTACTTTGAGGAGCAGGTTCAATCCACTTAAAACAAAAACCGTGTCAAAGTTTGAAATCTTCATCAATACATTATGAACTAATAATAGTGTTTTTGTTGTTTTCTCATAATGTTGTCTCAGTAGGTGTCTAGTTGTGACACTATTCAAAACACAAGGGCTTTAAGATATAAGGCGTTAGAACAGGAACACAGTTTATTTGACAGTATAATTCTTTCTTTGGGTTAGGGTTAGGGTTAGGGTTAGGGTTTTCTTCAAGCATTAATTGTTTAGTTGTTGTGTACGAATACCCTGCTAGGTGACACCGTTGGTAGCATTTAGGTCTGATCAATTGTAGTAGTAAGCTGTACACAAAATACAGCATAAACAACCCAGTGGTTCTTTTTGTTTTGTTTTTGGTGGTTTTGTGGATATGACACCAGTGGGACTTAATTCACTTCACTTAATGTTAGGCTAAAACATGTTGCTAGCTAATCCTAACAAACACAATAATGTAATAATAACTTGGAAGAGGGTCGTACTGCTTTAAAATGTATTCAGCAGTGGGTGTTCCAAGTTGCTTTCATGAATGTTCCTGACTGAATCATTGGAATGTGCAGTGAAAATTTCAAAAACCCCATTACAGGAAACAACATCAAAAGAGGAAGTGTGATTAATTTACATTTGTGGATAGAATAGTTGGCTACAAATTGGTTTGTGTCTCTGCAGTGATAGACCAGTGAGGCGACTGCAGAGGATCAACTCACAGGAGGAGCTGGACTTTCATGACACCTCCAGCGGCTCCGACCAATCAGAAGCTTGCGGAGATGAGCGTAGAGGAGGCATGAATGGGGACAAGCCACGAAGGAACACAGGGAAAGACCGCTCATTCAGGAGGTAAGCAATTCACTAATTCTACATGTACAGTATAATCAAAGCTAGAAAAACGTTGTAATAATGAGTGGGACATTGGTGATGAGTAGGGCTATAATGAACAATTGTTTTAAGATAAGATAAGATAAGTTTTGAGAACCTCCTCCTCACCTTGTAAATTTCCCTATTGTGAGATCAATAAAGTTGATCTTATCTTAATTGTTTGAAAAGGACAGTGAATATGGAAATGTTCAAACATTTGACCAAAAAAAAGCTCACAGGATGCCACTGGATTCACAGAGACATGTTACACATGAGTTGTTTAACCAGACATTTTAATTTCATTCTGTTATCATTGTAGAATTTTCTGAGTCCTTAAACTTAAAAGTTCTTTTAAGTTTATTTAAGGTTCAAAAAAAGATAAATAAATTACTAATTTAGTGAAAAACTATTTCAGTAATAAATTAGTTGGAATTGATTAATGAACTTAATGTTAATAAAAATAAAAAAATTAATAAAAAGGTTTAAGGCATGTAAAGTATGCAAGAGACAAATAATAAATATATTCAGTTTATAACGCATACCTTCTAATCCATTTAGAATGGATGTTTTAACTGTATTACTTTGTGCAAATTGTATATAACATGTTGCATTGTGTGTTTTTAATAGACTGATACTAAATTCAGATGAGCCAAAGAAGCATAAGCCATTTCGGTTCCAGTCTAAGAGCCCCAAAACCAAGGTGTCTGGCCTGAGCAGGGTCAAAGCTAAGGCCAAGTCTAAAGTGACCATCCCGAAACCATTTCAGATGATGCTTCGTGAGGAGGACAGAAAGAGGCAAAAGGTCCGCTCACGCTCGGAGGTGGAACTGGAGAACTCCCTGTTGAAACGAGAGCTGGAAGAACTGAAGGAGTGCAAGAAACAGTTTCGAGCATCACCGGCCCCTGCTCACATCCACCTGCCACTTTATGAAGTGGTTAGCCAGAGGTTCAGTCAACGACCTGCTACACTGGGCAAATGTGACCAAACCAAGCAGCTCTTTGACACTTCAAAACCCTTTCAGTTTTTGGAGCGAGAGAGAAGGAAGAGGGAGGGAAGGATTGTGGCTGAGCTGGGGAAACTGTGCTCCAGAGTGGAAACACGCCGGTTCAGAGCCAGGCCAATGCCCCGATCAGTGTACGCATCAAACCCTGTCAGACAACCGCTGAATATGGAGCGAGAGGTCACCGAGGGCCACAGTGACCCAAACTCTGACCTGGAGACGGACCCAGTCAAGCCAGGAAGCACATCACCAGATGCAAAAAAAGATGCATCTTCCAAGCCAGTGAAGAAACAGATCGAGGTCTCTATTGAAATGGTCAAAGAGAAACCATGGTCCTACATCAACCCACTTCAAAACACTACATGTAGACCTCCTCTTTGTACACAGCTACCACAAACACTGGAAAACAGTGAATACATCACTGTTTAAAGTCTACTGTTATTGTTTTTATATCCTAGACATTTGCTCTATAGGAATACATGTATACAGTATGTACTATAATGTGATGAATCATGTTTGATAGATTTTGAAATAAAGACAAATAAGACCCTTTGATGGTTAGTTATTTAGTTTGGATTGAATTAGTGTGGACCGTCCCTGGGTAAGACATCGCTGACGGAGCAGCCATCTTCCTGTGGACCCACCACCTGGTGCTATGAGAATTGGGTGGTGTAATAGTGATAAAAACAATGTAATAGATATATATACAGAAAAAGAGATTTGCAATAAATAGTTATTTCATAATTTACATAATATTAAAAAAAACAAGATAAATATGGTTAAAGGTATGTTAAAATATCTACAGTTAATTCAGTATTTACATTTTGAGTTTTTACAGAAAAGATTGTTATCGACTAGTAAGCCTGAACAACAATGGAGCGATTGGTTCTTCCCGCACCGACAGATAGGGGGGGGGTTCGCGCTGTTTCCTCACTTGTATTAAACTCCTGCAAGAGGGAAACGCACCCAAATCACTCTCGTGGTTTTCTCCTTATTTCAGGTAAAAGGGACCAATTGTTGTAATTGTATCATATTCGTATTTGTTTATAACACTTGTATTAAACTCCTGCAAGAGGGAAACGCACCCAAATCACTCTCGTGGTTTTCTCCTTATTTCAGGGGCGTAACATTTTGGAGGCACCGCTGGGATGAGCGCAACGAAGGCTAGCTCATGTCAGGAGTAACCCAAGTTGCTTTCTCATCCCCCCTAAACAACCCAGGCTGACGACAAAGAGCAAAATTCGTTACAGCAACGGCAGCGGACTGCATGAATAAAGCAAGTGTAATCTGAGGTGAAGTTACAGCCACCAGGAAAGCCAAGCTAATATTCAGAGCTAAGGCTAACGCTGCTGAGGCGCGAAAACTCGTCGTCACCTTATATCTGTGTAATAACAAAATGGAGTCTAACGTCATGGAAGAACTTCAGCTAGAAGTGATCCAAGCACTGTGTACGCTATCTGAAGAGCAGTTACTGAGTATTTTTGGACTTTTAGACATCGAGGGACGTGAACAGACACAGAATAAGCCCCGCATTGTGCTAATTACCATGATAAGCTCTTATTTGCAACGTGATGAGACGGAACAGCTCGAAGATCAAGGTATGTCAGAGTTGCTGTACATAAGAGACCAAATAAAAGAATATAAAAATATTGGAGAACCTGTCTTACCTGCGAGTCCGTACAGATGGGAGCAAGTCAAAGCAATGTGACTGATATTTTGAACCAGGGTAACGATCAGAATATGCAACAGAACAAGGCAGATGAAACTTCCAATGAACATGTAAAGTTGACTAAAGAAATCGAGGCACTACAACTGAAGCTATCATTAATGCAAACTAAAAAAAACAGTCCAACACCGAGCAGGCAAGCACATTCCCTATATACTGCTCATCCACAGGTCACTGTTCCCTGGAATAAAGACTTAAAAATCTCTGGTCTAATCGGTGAGCCGGGGCAGAAAGACCGTCTCACTTTTTCAAGTCTGGCACGTCAAATCGAGCATGGGCTAAGTAAGGGTTTTACGGAAGCAGAGATTGTGGACGCCGTCATAAGAGCCATCACTCCAGGTATGCAACTCCGTAGTTACCTCGAAGGGAAAGCCAACTTAACACTCCCCGCTCTGAGAAGAATTCTTCGATGCCACTATCAAGAGAAAAGTGCTACAGATCTGTACAAACAACTGAGCTCAGAGGTACAAAGTAATAAAGAAGCCCCTCAGAGTTTTGTCATTCGTGCTCTTGATCTCAGACAGAAAATTCTTTTCGCTTCTCAAGAATCTGAATCAGGTTTAAAGTATGATCCCACCCTTGTGCAAAATATGTTTCTTCACACGCTCCTAACTGGGTTACAGAATGACAACATAAAACGTGACCTACAGCCGTATCTACAACATGAAAATGTGTCAGATGAACTGTTGTTAGAAAAGCTTAATACTTCTTGTGCCTGTGAAAGTGAAAGACAAGACAAACGAAAACTGCTAGCCCCACAACGTGTTGCTATTCATTCTGCAGAGTCCAGCGAAAGCCCAGCTGAAAGACAAGGTAAAGTATCAGACCCACAAAAGAAATCCAAAGTGCAACCGGACATATTATCTGAACTGAGGGAAATGAGATCCAACATGACACTACTGAGTGATTTAAAAGCTGAAGTCTCTCAAATAAAAGAGTTCATGCAAAAACCGCAGTCACAAATTCAAGTTGAACCACACTCAATCCCTGTCAATCCACAGATGACTGTCCCACCCGCAATGCCGCCCCAAATGCCATGGCCCAGTCAGTATGTATATCAGAACCCCCAGTACAACCAAACGACCCCAAGGAATTATGCAATACCCGCTCCCAGGCGTAGGAGGCGTTGTTTCACCTGTCAGCAAAACAACACTGATGATTGCAGACATTGTTATGTATGTGGTAGTAATGAACATTTCATAGCAGGTTGCAGAATGAGAGGAGCACGCCAGTCTCATCCTTTAAACGGGCAAGGGTCACTCCAGAGGGACCACCAGTGACCCCGATGCAAAGTATGTCCCAGAAGTGTGAAAGCTGTAAAGTTGGAGGAGACAAGGTGAGACTCCGACAATGTGCATTGTGTAAAAATGTACTTTATTGCTCAAAATCCTGTCAAACTCAACACTGGACTGTCCACAAAGAATGTGCGCACATGTCAAGTGGTAGTGTCAAATCCAAGTCATCTAAGCATAATGTCAAAGTGGCACCGCTAATTGGACAAAAATACTTAGTGGATTGTTACATACAAAATCAGAAGACACAAGCATTATGGGATTCTGGCTCTCAAGTAACAATAGTTGATGAAAAGTGGTGGGAAGAGAATCTATCACATATGAAACTCAGAAACATTTGTGAAATATTCGAAGGTGACAATACATTGGCAATAACAGCTGCGAATGGAGAAAATATGCCCTATATTGGTTGGTTAGAAGTCACCTTCAGATTACATGTTAATAATGCTCCCACCGAGGTCACTGTCCCCACCCTTGTTTTGAGTGGCTCCAGCCTTTCTCGGCCGATCATAGGCTCCAATGTAATAACACTTATTGTTGGTAGTGAAGTGAACCAGTCCATCTCTGACCGAGACCACCTCATCCAAACTGTTGTGTCAGCATTCCCAGGTGTTGAAGTCAGTGAAATACAAGCCTGTGTGAAACAAGTGAGTACAAATCCAGTGTTTGAGTACAAAGTTAAAACTACAAGAGAAACATTGACTGTACCAAAGCACACTTCAATTTGGAGAGACGTGAAACAAGAAGCTTTTGAGTATTTTATTGGGAGGAGGTTTGGCGCCCTAGGCCCCGGTGCGGCCTTCAGATCGGAGGGGCTCTGCGATGGAGCATGCCAATCCCCCGGGACCTAGGCACTGGTGGCGGCATTTGGCAGCGGGAAGCAGATTGAAGGCAGAATGAAGCAGGGTGAAGAGGAGGAGGAGGGGAGGCGGTGGCTGCAGCTTCAAGAGGCCGAGAATGGGAGTTCCTCCGCTTTTAAGCAGCTTGCCTGGCTGGACCGGTGATTGGAAGGGGGCGTTTGCCGTGCGATAGGCTGGGGATGAGAACCGGCCTGGAGGGGTTACCTTTGGCTGACGTCTACCAAATTGAACTTACGCTGGCTGCATTTCAATTTGGAGAGACGTGAAACAAGAAGCTTTTGAGTATTTATTGGGAGGAGGTTTGGCGCCCTAGGCCCCGGTGCGGCCTTCAGATCGGAGGGGCTCTGCGATGGAGCATGCCAATCCCCAAAAAGGTTGTGAGTTGATGGAGTTTTGCAGCCTGGTTTGAAGGGGACAGACGTCGAGACTACTCTATGCTGTGACCGCTATCGCTATATACTGTGACCGCTATCGCTATATACTGTGACCGCTATCGCTATATACTGTGACCGCTATCGCTATATACTGTGACCGCTATCGCTATATGCTGACGAGTCGCGACCATCGCGCGCTAACCATTTTTTTTGCTATATACTGTGACCGCTAACCATTTTTTGCTATATACTGTGACCGCTAACCATTTTTTGCTATATACTGTGACCGCTATCGCTATATACTGTGACCGCTAACCATTTTTTGCTATATACTGTGACCGCTATCACTATATGCTGTGACCGCTATCTATTGTGACCAAACTTGCGGATCCTCATCCGAGCAGTCTCTGCCGAGCAGTCTCTGCCGAGCAGTCTCTGCCGAGCAGTCTCTGCCGAGCAGTCTCTGCCGAGCAGTCTCTGCCGAGCAGTCTCTGCCGAACAGTCTCTGCCGAACAGTCTCTGCCGAACAGTCTCTGCCGAACAGTCTCTGCCGAACAGTCTCTGCCGAACAGTCTCTGCCGAACAGTCTCTGCCGAACAGTCTCTGCCGAACAGTCTCTGCGGCGACATTGCTGCGATACTCAGCTGCTGCGACCATGCTTGCGGATACTCAGCTGCTGCGACCATTGCTTGCGGATACTCAGCTGCTGCGACCATTGCTTGCGGATACTCAGCTGCTGCGACCATGCTTGCGGATACTCAGCTGCTGCCGCCACCAGGAAGTTTGCAAGTGTTTTATGGAGATGCAAAGAGGCGCTGGGCTGCCAGGATTGTCGAAGTGTCAGGCCTGATGTATGAGGAGAGGGCCGATGATGACCAGCGGCCCAGCTGCTGGAGGGCGGAATAGGGGAGCCCAAGGGACGCGGCGCGCGTGGCGGCGCCTATCCGAAGGAGTGGGCTGTGTAGAGATGGGGAGACAGGTTACAAGCAGCAGTACGGACTTGAGTTGGGCTCTGAAACAGACGGATGACATTGGAAGGTTATCGGGAGCGCGGAGGAGATGCTTTGAGGGAAGGCGTCGGGCCAGGGCCCGGCGAACCACTGGACCTGGAAGAGACCCCCAAAACCCACGGACGGGGCTGCGTCCGTGAAGAACCACAGGGCATCTGAGGACGGGATGACGTCACTGTAAAAAAAAGATACACCGTCCCAGCGGCTCTGCAGACGGGACCCGAATGCCAGGTCGGAGCGGCACCCCGCGTCCGGGCAGACAGCGTCGTTGAGGGAGGAGACGGAGCCAGATATAAGCAGTTCCATATACAAGCAGTTCCATCTATAAGCAGTTCCATATACAAGCAGTTCCATATACAAGCAGTTCCATATACAAGCAGTTCCATATACGAGCAGTTCCATATACGAGCAGTTCCATATACAAGCAGTTCCATATACAAGCAGTTCCATATACAAGCAGTTCCATATATAAGCAGTTCCAGATATATACAGTTCCAGATATAAGCAGTACCAATATATGCAGTTCCAATATGAGCAGTTCCAATATGAGCAGTTCCAATATGAGCAGTTCCAATATGAGCAGTTCCAATATGAGCAGTTCCAATATGAGCAGTTCCAATATGAGCAGTTCCAATATGAGCAGTTCCAATATGAGCAGTTCCAATATGAGCAGTTCCAATATATTAGCAGTTCCATATATTAGCAGTTCCATATATTAGCAGTTCCATATATTAGCAGTTCCATATATTAGCAGTTCCATATATTAGCAGTTCCATATATTAGCAGTTCCATATATTAGCAGTTCCATATATTAGCAGATCCATATATTAGCAGTTCCATATATTAGCAGATCCATATATTAGCAGTTCCATATATTAGCAGTTCCATATATTGGCAGTTCCATATATTAGAAGATCCATGTATAAGCAGTTCCGTATATAAGCAGATCCATATATAAGCAGGTCCAGATATAAGCAGAACCAATATATGCAGTTCCATGCACTGTATAAGCGGTTCCAGGTATAAGCAGTACCATATAATCAGTTCCAGGTATGAGCAGTCCCAATATGAGCAGTTCCATAAAAGCAGTTCCATAATACATAAGCAGTTCCGTAATACATAAGCAGTTCCGTAATACATAAGCAGTTCCATAATACGTAAGCAGTTCCACAATACGTAAGCAGTTCCATAATACGTAAGCAGTTCCAGATATAAGCAGTTCCGTGAGGGATTAAACTGAGAGCTCGCAGTCCAATTTGAGGGATTAAACGGAGCTTGCAGTCAGAGTGAAGGATTTAAACGGAGCTTGGTTAAAGAGAGCCTGCAGACCAATGCGAGGGCTTTAAACTGATGCTTGCCCACCAATGCACGGGGCCAACTGAGCCTGCATTACAAGCGCGGGGCCAACTGAGCCTGTAGGACAATGCGAGGGGAATAAAACCGTCCGCAGATCTCATACTTACCCGCAACGCCAGAAGATAAGGGACAACACGACGGGACCACACCGTATGGCACGAGGAGGCAGGGATGCGCACGGCTCCCACCGCACCGGTCCAGACCGGCCGTATGCAGCAGCAGGCCGCGACGAGACGAGCAGCGGCGAACCCGCAGAAAGAGCCCGCAAAGGAGGAGAGCGGCAAAGACCCACGGACCACAGCACGAGACCCGCAGCAGGTGCAGCGACGTGGAGGAGGAGCAGACGACACGCAGCAGGACAGAGGACAGCAGGGACACGCACGAAGTAAGTGAGAGTAGAACAAAGCGATTCCTCCAGAACGACTCTTTGCAAGGCTTCGCTCTTTGCTGCAGCTTCAAGAGGCCAAGAATGGGAGTTCCTCCGCTTTTAAGCAGCTTGCCTGGCTGGACCGGTGATTGGAAGGGGGCGTTTGCCGTGCGATAGGCTGGGGATGAGAACCGGCCTGGAGGGGTTACCTTTGGCTGACGTCTACCAAATTGAACTTACGCTGGCTGCATAACTATGAGAGTAGAATGCCGCATACAAGGACCCCCATGCCAAGAAGACACAGTCCTCATTTTTGAGCCCGAGATAAATCCACAGTGGACTGAAGGACTTGAATTCTGTGACACTCTGGTAACAATTAAAAGTGGAATAAACCCGTTTATAACAGTTGATGTCCAGAACCCCACAGAACATGACATTGTGCTCATTGGGAGAACACTGATTGGAACAGTGCAACCCGTACAAGCTGTCTACCCTGCCTCAATTCTTCAGCCTGCTCCTACAGTCCCAGCTGCTGTCGGTCATGTGAGAGTAGGTGAAGAAGAAGTTTGGGATCCGCCTGTCAACCTGAGTCACTTGCCTGAAAAAGAGAGGTCAGTAGTGCAGAAGATGTTAAGCGATGAATGTGATTCGTTCTCTAAATCAGAAAATGACATTGGCCGCATCGAAAAGTTACAAATGTCCATATCTCTTAAAGACACTGAGCCAGTAGCAAAAACTTACCTGTCTGTGCCTAAACCTTTATACAGAGAGATGAAAGACTATTTGCAAGACCTCATTACTCAAGGCTGGGTCGAGAAGTCACACTCACCATATGCAGCGCCAGTAGTGTGTGTGCGAAAAAAATGTGGTGCGCTCAGGTTATGTATTGACTATCGTGAGTTAAACAAAAAGACTGTACCTGATCGTCAGCCCATTCCCAGGGTCCAGGATATTATGGATGGACTTGGCGGTAATTCATGGTTTTCTTTACTTGACCAAGGGAAAGCCTACCACCAGGGATTTATGGCTCCAGATTCACGCCACCTGACAGCATTTGTAACTCCCTGGGGCTTGTACGAATGGGTCCGATTCCCCTTTGGCTTAATGAACGCTCCAGCGGCTTTCCAACGCTGTATGGAAAACTGTTTGGAGGGCCTGCGCGACGACATTTGCATTCCATACCTCGATGACACAATCGTATTCAGTAACTCCTTTATGCAACATGTCTGTGATGTAAGAACTGTGTTAAAACGCCTCAGAGAACATGGCATTAAATTAAAACCAAGTAAATGTGAACTGTTTAAACAAGAAGTGCGTTACTTGGGACGCATTGTTTCAGCAGAGGGTAGTAAAATGGATCCCGCTGATACTATTGCAGTCAGAGCTCTTAAAAATAAGCAGCCCAAAACAGTAGGAGAACTCAGATCTATCATGAGTCTACTCAGCTACTACAGACAGTATATCAGAGACTTTTCATGCATTGCTGGTCCACTTTACCAGTTGCTCAAAGGACCTGCTGACACACAAGTAACTAAAAACAAAGAAATAACGACAAGACACACAAACAAAAAGACAAGAGGAGTCCCTTCAAACACGCCAATCAAGTGGACCTCACATCATCATCAGATTTTAGAGAAGTTGATTGATTTTCTTATTGAACCACCCATTCTTGCTTTCCCAGACTTCAGTAAGCCGTTTATACTCCACACTGATGCATCAAACCAAGGATTAGGTGCAATCCTTTATCAGGAGCAATCTGGTAAAATGCGAGTATTAGCATATGCGTCCCGCACACTCACTGGATCTGAAAAGAATTACCACATGCACTCGGGGAAACTTGAATTTCTTGCATTAAAATGGGCAGTCTGCGAGAGATTTAGAGACTACTTGATCGGGTCATCATGCACAGTGTATACGGATAATAATCCACTTACGTACATGCTATCAACAGCAAAACTAAATGCAACAGGAAGCCGATGGGTAGCTGAGCTTGCAGATTTTCACCTCACTATAAAGTACAGACCCGGACGCGAAAATGTGGACGCGGACAGTTTATCACACATGCCAGTGGACATTGATAAAATTATGAAAGCGTGCACAATCGAGATGTCATCTCGTGCAGTCCAAGCCACTGTTCAAGTGATAGAAACAGACTCAAATGTGCAATGGGCACTGGCTTTAACAAGTGAAATGAACAAAGATAAAAACCTCATTCCAATTCAAAGTGAAGAGATAAGCCAAGCTCAGCTAAACGACGCATGTATTGGTTCTGTTATAAATTATCTGAAGTCAGGCACAAAGCCTACTGGTCAAGAATATAAGTTATTGAGTGTGCCCACAAGAAGGCTGTTATCTGAATGGGAGAAGTTAACGCTGGACAAGGACAACATCTTACACCGTCAAACAACAGAAAGAAAACAGCTTGTGTTGCCAGATAAATACAGAGACACAGTTTTGAGAGCGCTACATAACGAAATGGGACATCAGGGCATTGATCGGACAACATCACTCATCAGAGATAGATTTTTCTGGCCCCACATGCAAAAGCACATTGAACAATATGTTAATTGTTGCTCCTGTATAAAGAGCAAGAAACCAAGTCGTGCAACAAGAACACCATTGACGAGTATAGTTACATCTCAACCTTTTGAACTTGTATCCATAGATTTCCTTCATGTTGACAAGTGCTCTGGTGGCTATGAGTATATATTGGTGTTAATAGACCATTTCACAAGATACGCACAAGCTTACGCCACAACATCAAAATCAGGAAAGACGGTCGCAGATAAAATATTCAGTGATTATTCGCTCAAGTTTGGTTTCCCTGCACGTATACATCATGATCAAGGGGGCGAGTTTGAAAATCACCTTCTCGTACAACTTTCCAAACACAGTGGCATTACAAGCTCAAGAACGACCCCTTATCATCCCGAAGGAAACGGTCAAGTCGAAAGATTTAATAGAACACTGTTACAAATGTTGAGAACGCTCACCGAAAAAGAAAAATCCAACTGGAAAGAGTCACTCAATAAAGTCATTTTCGCTTATAACTGTACAAGGAGCAAAGTAACAGGTTTCTCCCCATTCTACCTGTTATTTGGACGAGCACCACGACTGCCCATAGACATTCTTTTCAATGTGAGACAAGAAACAGGAACAAATGACCAAAAATTGTACATGAGAAAGTGGAAAAGTCAAATGCAAGAAGCTTATGAAATAGCAAGAGAAAAGTCCAAAAAGTCAGCAGAAAGAGGAAAAAGGAACGCTGATAACAAAGTGAGAAGTTCTGTTTTGGAAGAAGGAGACCGTGTCCTAGTAAGAAATATGACCCCTAGAGGTGGTACAGGAAAATTGCGCAACCATTGGGAAGAACACATCTATAAAGTAGTGCGACAAGTGAACACAGATCTTCCTATTTATGAAGTTGTGCCAGAACAAGGAAAGAACAGAGACAGTAAAATATTACATCGCAATCTACTCCTACCTTGTAACCACTTACCACTTGAGATACCTCTGAAAGTGACACGCCCGAAAAAGAGAAACCAATCTAAAAAAGAGACTGATACAGCCACACAAGAAGAAGATAGTAGTGATGAAGATGATTGGTACTTTTGCTACAATCCAACTCAACCTCAAACAGCAGTATCCTTGCCAGGAATGGACTGGAATAATGCAGCAGAAACAGATCAATGTGAAGAAGAGGACAAAACACCATCTCCACAGCATCCTGTCCTGCAGAGAGAGGAGGAACCTCAGCACATCCAACTAAAGACATCACATCAAGGAGCAGCACCCGCCGCATCTCCCAGCAACACAGCCACCAGTGATGACTTCCCAGCATCCTCGAGGAACGACCCCATGGAGCTGGACCAGACACCACATCGGCCCCGTAGAGAGAGACGTCCACCGAGGGTATTCACGTACAATGAACTAGGTATGCCGTCTTGTTGCAGTATCCAACGAGCAGCTTACCAGTACCAGCTCTGTGGCCTACAAGCAACAGATACTTCTTGGAGGTACCAGGACATGTATTACTACTACAATTACCAGCCATTGTATTGATGCATAATGATACTATTAATACATTTCTTTGTATTTGGTGATTTGAAATCATAACAAAGACTGTTTTCTTTGAGAACTTTCACAAAATGAACTGTTTTACAACAGAGGGGTTAATCACTCACGAGTAATACTCCAGTGATCAGCTGAGCCCAAAGACATTGAGAATGTGGTACAGTGAAGTTGGGATGTTAGGGGGTAATCCCCTTTTAGAAAACTGTATGAAGACGTGGTACGATACGAAGATTTACGAGTGAATGTTATGTTTATAAGACCATTTTGAGACATACTGTCCTTTGGTAATGATTGTAATTGAGAATATATAATGCTTTTGCATTGAGATCCTGCTAATGGTTTAACCTAAAATGTGTATATGGTTCAGTAAGTACGTTCATTTGAGACTTTTGAAGTTACCTTTATTTGTGTTTGAGTAAGATGTCGGGACGCCATCTAATTTCCAAGGGGTGTGTGTAATAGTGATAAAAACAATGTAATAGATATATATACAGAAAAAGAGATTTGCAATAAATAGTTATTTCATAATTTACATAATATTAAAAAAAACAAGATAAATATGGTTAAAGGTATGTTAAAATATCTACAGTTAATTCAGTATTTACATTTTGAGTTTTTACAGAAAAGATTGTTATCGACTAGTAAGCCTGAACAACAATGGAGCGATTGGTTCTTCCCGCACCGACAGATAGGGGGGGGGGTTCGCGCTGTTTCCTCACTTGTATTAAACTCCTGCAAGAGGGAAACGCACCCAAATCACTCTCGTGGTTTTCTCCTTATTTCAGGTAAAAGGGACCAATTGTTGTAATTGTATCATATTTGTATTTGTTTATAACACTTGTATTAAACTCCTGCAAGAGGGAAACGCACCCAAATCACTCTCGTGGTTTTCTCCTTATTTCAGGGGCGTAACAGTGGCAGCTCTGATTGTCACCCCCTGACCCAGAAATTGATTAATAAAGGGAAAGATAATGAATGAGTGAATTAAAATTCTTTTTACTATATATATATATATATATATATATATATATATATATATATATATATAATCACACACATAAACCGTATATTATGCTAATTGAAGCACAACATAAACATCAAAAAGTATCATTTGGTTAAAAGTTTTAAACTTCAGGTTATTATTACGCTGAAGTGTAAAACGTTTAATCATTTATTATCTAATTTAGTAATCAGTATGTAAATCCTGGTATAGATCCATGGGTAAAACACACGAAAAGGCGCGAACGGCATTTTGGCCATTCTAGCCAGTCGAAAATGGCCAAAGGTGCGTTTGACACACTTTTGACTGCTTCGAGGCGCCCCCTTGTGGCCAAAACATTGGTTGGTGGAGAAGGTGTAGAGGTGGGAATTGAACCCACGACCCCATAGGCCTGAAGGCCAATGCTCTACCAACTGAGCTACTGTCGCCCACTATACTTAACATATTGTATATATTTTGTAACAAACAAAAATAGTGACGTTTGTTCCACAAATTGTGACCAGGTATTATGTATATGAGCGTTTTCATCTGGGCATTTGGGATGCCAAAGAACAATTCTGTTGCCATTTGTTTACAAGAGCGCCACCTACATGTCACCCATAGTATAGAACATGAAAACACGTCGAAAAGACAATATATATGGAGATACCATGGCGAGGCTTTATTATAGTCAAGAGCTGCAACTTCCATTCATCTATATTATTCTCGCAACAGCAATAAATTTACATAGGTACCCAATATTTCATTTTTCTATTTTCTAGAGCAGTGTCTCCCAAAGTGGGGTCCGCGGCCCCCTGGTGGGCCGCGAGGGTACTGCAGGGGGGCCGCGGGAGGTCATAAAAAAAAAAATATATATATATAATTATTTAATGTTAAATTTATAATGTTTTGTTTGTAATATTAAAATATTTGTGTTCATTATTTGACTTGAATAATCCACTGTAATCATTTTTGTATTACAATGTTTGTAGCAGAGGCTATTTCCCCAAAATAAAATAACCAGAAGAGCCTATTCTTAATGTTGTCTTCTTGGTTATTATTTTGGGGGACCACGCAGACCCGTCAGATTTTTAAGGGGGCCTCGGTGTTACTGAGTTTGGGAATGGCTGTTCTAGAGGAATAAGAGTTAGCTAGACCTATAGGTCTACTCACATTTTTGATTTTCCTACCGTTCTGTAACCTGTGATACAATACTGAACATTCCCCGTTTGTGGTGAATAAATTATCTCAATGATAAAGCCGTTCAACTATTTATTATGCATTCACAATAAAACACCCCTTTTATCAACACATTCAACAGAAAAGAGTTCCATGTCCTCAATCCAAGAGAAGTCAAACTTGAAGGGCTCCAAGATGTTCTCATGCTCCTCACTGTCCAGGTCAAAGTCTCCCTAAACTGAGAGAAGTCTGCTTGTGTCTGGTAAAGGAAGTGACGTAACAGGGGCTCCTGAAGGAGGGGGCTCCTGAAGGAGGGGGCTCCTGAAGGAGGGGGCTCCTGAAGGAGGGGGCTCCTGAAGGAGGGGCTGAACCAATAATGGAAAGCTGCAGAGCCGGAGCCGAGGCAAATCTACCGTGAAGCAAATCCACCGTGATAGTGCGCCCTCTGCTGGTAAAGACAGATATACGACGGTATTTATTTCACGTTTTACAGTTGTATTGTTGGGATTATTGTGTGTAATTTACAATGTGGTGTAACTTAGTTTACATGTACTATTATTTTGGTTATTTTATTAAATTAAAATGTTATATTTTACTCCAATATTTCATTGTATTTTGTAGGACAGTGCCTTCATTTGTTCATAATAATAAGGAACAAGGGACAGAGACAATATTTTGGAACAAATTTACATTTTTATTGTGGTAACTAACCATCCATTGCTGTAATCAGTACAGAAAAGGAGAGAAATCATTGGGTTAATAATGTTAGCTTGCAGATTCCATAACAAAGTAAAAAGTAAAATGTGTACCTTCAGGGTCTTCCCTGTTTCCTGAATTCAACAGAAATCCTTCTGTTGAATTCCTCAACTTCACTATAAAAAAATGTAAATAATGTGTAAAAATCAAATGTTGTATGTTTGGAAGGTTTCTTGTAAAAAAAAAAAACAAAAAAAAAAGCAAATCTGAAATAAAATAAAATAACCTTTTTTCATAAATGGCTCCCTAGAGGTACGCCTCTTTTGCCTCCTTCCAGGGTATGTTTTTCAGTTGGCAAATTCCATGAATGATTGCCTGTACAAGTAACAATAAAGTAAACATCAAAACTAAAACAGTAACATTGTCACACTTTTTGGATGTACCTCTGGAAACAGGAAGCCAAGAAGGAATTCCACCTCATTGTTGACCTTCAGCACAGTCTGTGTACTTTTGATTAGGGTTCTGAGGTACACAAATAGGGTATCCTGGTGCTCCTCTGTATCTAAATAAACAGGTACCTGAAAGCGTGGCTTTAAGGAATACCACTCAGATTGTTTCCTTTTGAGTATGTCCTGTGGTACACAAATTAAAATTATATGAATGAATCAGCCATGCATTTTTTTCCCATTATGTAATTTTACATCTACAATTTTTTTTGTTTTATTACCATCAAATGCCTCTCCGTTTCTTTAGATGTTACAATGCAGTCCACAAGCCTTTTTTCCTCCTGTGTTCTATTATTGACTGCTTGGAGATGAGCAGGAAGAGTGGCCGTTGTTGTTCTCTTTATCCGAAAGAGTGGCGTTAGCTTCCCCTCAATCAGATGACTTGCCTCCATGGTCCAGAAGGCAAATCTCTGACCATGACTTTTTCCAAAAGAAAGGTAAATGAAATATACACAATAATTAATAGCAAAATTGGGGGCTTGAGAAATATATTTGATATATTTCTTTACCAACAGCGATGTATTGGCACATTATTAAATACTAACTTGATCAATTTACCTGATGTGTAAAAGTACAAAAAATTACAACATTCGTATGTTGTTTAAAGTGTTAGCTTTAGCAAACAAGAGAAGCATCTACGATTTCAAAAATGTGTTCATAAGAAATTAAAAATGAAATTAAATAACTCTATTAAAGGTCCTATATCACGCTTTTCTTCATGTTTCACACTCAATCCTATGCACATGTGTGACATTAATGTGTATGATACACCACACAACAATCAAAGCTTGTGAGATTAGAGCCATCTCTTGTATAGAGGTGACGTCACCTCAACTCAAACGAGCTGATCCAGAGAAGAGTCTGCTCCTCTGCCTGTGAGCCCGCCTCCCCCCGCCCGCACGGTGACGTAGCATCACGCTTTATCGTTTATCACTTGTACTTAGTAATTTCATACATAAGAATAAACTTTTTCCAACAATGACAATCAGTCACATCGAGCCCTATGTCCTCGATGCACAATCAGACCCTAGTTATTTAGTTTACAGAAGTATACAGCGAGTTAGCGTCACTACTTACAGATCGAGGGGGTCCGAGTTACGTCTTTTACCGTGGGAATAACGTGTTTCCAGATCAGCTTTTGAGTAAGTCCAGTTCCATTGTCCCTGTAGTTCTGGAACAGTCTCAGTGAAGTGTTGCAGATGAACCGGTATTATAATAGATCCATGAGATGAACAGATGAAAAAAGTTGAGCCGCTTTCTTCCTCTTAGGGCCAAATAGTGCGTCACATATTTACACCCATAACACACTTCATTCAAGTTGACGTGATCCTAATACTTTTAGTTGCTGACAAAAGCATAAAAACAGCAGCTCTATGTGGTGTCCGGAGACCAGACCACAGACGCTGGACTCGGGAGCCGGAGCCTGTGCGCTCTGATTCGCTGTTTTGATCCGTCAATCACCTCCCGCCGGCTTTTAATTTATTTATATTTTTATTATTTTTGACAAAAAACAGCATACTAATTGTGTATTGTTTACCCCGTTTTGACAAAAGTATTTAACAACTATTTTAAATACAAAGCAAACGGGGTCATGCGCGTCATCAGTGTGGTTTTCGTCACTGAAGTGGACCCGAGCCTTTCTGTGCCTCAAGCTGGGGAAGGAGACAGATTGCTCTCTTACAAAAGATTGACAGAATCAATGAATAAACTACTGTGGGCTTGTGTATGAAGGCCAAATAGCATTGTAATCATGTTTAAAGCAGAGAAAAGTCAAAAACCGTGATATGGGCCCTTTAAAGTCTACTCACGTTCGTTGACTTGATCCAAATGAATATTCCCAAGAGCTAAGACCGTCGTATATCTGCCTTTACCAGCAGAGGGCGCACTTTCACGGTGGATTTGCTTCACGGTAGATTTGCCTCGGCTCCGGTGAACGAGTTCTACTTACTCATCGATCAAAATGCTCGAAAGTAGGCGTGGCTTAGACATGTTTCACAATAAAAGGCCACTGCCTCTGCGGGATCTCTAAAGTCCGAAATAAAGACTCCTTTCTCGTAGTGTTTCTGACGAAGGATTGCTATCACATATAATCAACGTAAAGTCAGATGTGTTGTTGCTGTTCCAAATACTGTCTGTGAATCGCGAACTGTTTCCCATGACACTGACCTGAACAGCTGCAAGGTGCGCAGTTTAACCTGGAGCTGCGGTGGGACTGTGGTGTTTCCATTCAATAAACACATTCACAACAGCGATTTACAAACACATGACCAGCGCCTGCTCTCACACATTGTTCTCATATACTACAGTCATAAGAAATATTGATGTAGAAAAAGAAATCACATGTGGAATTAATGCTGTATGTGATCGCTATCACAGACCAGGAAAAGGACGTTCGGGTTGTATGAGTGAGCAATAATGTGACTAATAATGAGCATGCAACTGTGACAGGACGAACATGTGTGTGTGTAAAGCATGACAGCAGCAAGAGGGTGTCACTGAAAAATGACAGCAGACGGCCAAACACATGTTGTATTTGTAGAGTGGGCTAGATCCACCTGCGTGTCCGCGTACTCGCACCCCGCTACATCTGTCTCCAAAGCATTGTAACGCAATGTCACTGGCAATAGAATGGCACACCCTGTTCCTGTTACCTGTGTCGTGTAGCCACAGACACACACACATAGATCGTGCGCTAGGACGCGGTTTGGTACGTGGTGCAGCGACAGATTAACCTGCTGACGCATCTCCAGATCCTCTTTCAGAGACGTCTCTGCAGCATTTCTTTGTCACTGCGCTGCGGACATGTGTTTTACGCGTTGCTCGGTCACAATTCCATGTCACAATTGTTCCCTTGTGTGCAGTATGACTGGACCAACATAAACATTTGTAATGAACACAGCACAACACTGACATGAGCAGCTGCAAGGTTTGCAGGTGTACCACGTCCACCCCAAATATACATCATTTTGGCCATCTGCTACTGTCAGCGAAATGTCCAGCAATCAATATTAATTTGTATGCATATTCATCATCATTCATGGGCATTGGTCTTTCTCTATGAACCAATACACATGGGTTCAATATTTCCTGCGTCTTCGCTGTTGATTCTCCAATCTGTGTTGGTGATTTCAACGTGTGTCAAAAAGATTCGTAAGTGTAATGTGGTTGTTCTAGCAGTACACCAGCAGATGGTGCTGTTGTAGCTGGTTATTACCTACACGCAAGCAAACCAAAACCTATACTGCCTCGACAAGACACACTACCGCAGCTGTTTATGATATTTTTTTCCTATATTTAAACTCTTGTCATTCACACCACTGTATTATACAGTGGGATCTATTATGATAACTGGTTTGGGTGTTACTAGCTTGGAGCTGAGGGATTCTCGCGTACTGCAGACTAAATTCACGTGGGCTACACAGACATTTCCCTCATAGAACTCAAAGTAAACTAAAACAGCTGATAGAGAACCTACAGCTTTCATAAAAGTCGGATTTTGTGGGAATTTAATTGTTCCTTGTCATCCTGAACTTTTCTTCTTCTTAAATCCTTTGGTTTTCTCTATCTACACTATAGTGCTACAAACTCTGCTGGTTTGCTTGCGTGTATAACCAGCTACGACAGCACCATCTGCTGGTGTACTGCTAGAACAACCACATTACACTTACGAATCTTTTTGACACACGTTGAAATCACCAACACAGATTGGAGAATCAACAGCGAAGACGCAGGAAATATTGAACCCATGTGTATTGGTTCATAGAGAAAGACCAATGCCCATGAATGATGATGAATATGCATACAAATTAATATTGATTGCTGGACATTTCGCTGACAGTAGCAGATGGCCAAAATGATGTATACATAGTTCCCACATGACGTCACTACATACGGGGATTTGCCGACCCGGCGCCATTTGTGTTGGCATGCTGTGGGCAAAACAATAGAAAAAGAAGCTGAAACGTGTTAATGTCGTGATAAAGTTGAAAATGGTCGTCTCCTGCTGGGTCAATGGATGTTCAAATTGTGCCGGAGGTTCCGTTAAACTTGGATTTTACAGTATACCCATCATTAGACTTCATGAATGTGAGAAGACAAAGCTTTTGTCAGAAGAACAACCACGGAGGTTATGGCTTGCGAAGATAAACAGGCAAGAAACTCCCTCAAAACACGCAAGAATATGCTCGGAGCACTTTGTGTCAGGTGCGTATCGTATCTTATAATGTGTTGACAGACGTAATTTACTCAGTACTAACTTGTGTATGCTGATATCTGGTAACTTGAGAGTTTCATTATTTAGATTACTTTATTATGAGGAGGATCGGTGTCGCGTCCGAGGCTCTCGAGGGCAACGTAAATGTATTAAATAGATAATAGTTCTATGGTGGGCTAAAACAATGTTCACAAACAGCATTGCTTCTGTAAAAAGATCTGTGTCATAAAATAAACTGCTCTTTACGCCTGGAAAAATCAGTTGCCCACCATTCACCAAAACATACGGTCAAAAACGCGGAAATAAACCATAACAGCAATCCAGAGTGTCCGTGTGGCATTAGCATTAATTAAATTAATTGTTAATATAATTAAAATAATTAAATGGAGCTCCAACTGGTATTAAATCTAAAGTTTTTGAGAAATGTTTGCATTGCTTGTTAATTTTTGCTGCATTATTTGATCAAATATGTAAAACATGTCCGTAGCACGTTAAACTGTGGTGCCATTGTATTAATATACAATTATTTGCTCAAAAGTTGCCCTTTTTTTCCAATTTGCGTTTGAATATCTACATTTATTCTCATTCTTCTGTTTAATGGAATGCACAAACACAGCAGCGTGCCATCAAAGATGGCGTCTCCGAGGAGGTCATGTGACATTCATTGGGAACTATGTATACATAGTTCCCACAGACCAATGAATGTCACATGACCTCCTCGGAGACGCCATCTTTGATGGCACGCTGCTGTGTTTGTGCATTCCATTAAACAGAAGAATGAGAATAAATGTAGATATTCAAACGCAAATTGGAAAAAAAGGGCAACTTTTGAGCAAATAATTGTATATTAATACAATGGCACCACAGTTTAACGTGCTACGGACATGTTTTACATATTTGATCAAATTATGCAGCAAAAATTAACAAGCAATGCAAACATTTCTCAAAAACTTTATATTTAATACCAGTTGGAGCTCCATTTAATTATATTAACAATTAATTTAATTAATGCTAATGCCACACGGACACTCTGGATTGCTGTTATTGTTTATTTCCGCGTTTTTGACCGTATGTTTTGGTGAATGGTGGGCAACTGATTTTTCCAGGCGTAAAGAGCAGTTTATGTTATGACACAGATCTTTTTACAGAAGCAATGCTGTTTGTGAACATTGTTTTAGCCCACCATAGAACTATTATTATCTATTTAATACATTTACGTTGCCCTCGAGAGCCTCGGACGCGACACCGATCCTCCTCATAATAAAGTAATCTAACGCTAAATAATGAAACTCTCAAGTTACCAGATATCAGCATACACAAGTTAGTACTGAGTAAATTACGTCTGTCAACACATTATAAGATACGATACGCACCTGACACAAAGTGCTCCGAGCATATTCTTGCGTGTTTTGAGGGAGTTTCTTGCCTGTTTATCTTCGCAAGCCATAACCTCCGTCGTTGTTCTGACAAAAGCTTAGTCTTCTCACATTCATGAAGTCTAATGATGGGTATACTGTAAAATCCAAGTTTAACGGAACCTCCGGCACGATTTGAACATCCATTGACCCAGCAGGAGATGACCATTTTCAACTTTATCACGACATTAACACGTTTCAGCTTCTTTTTCTATTGTTTTGCCCACAGAATGCCAACACAAATGGCGCCGGGTCGGCAAATCCCCGTATGTAGTGACGTCATGTAGGAACTATGTATGTTTGGGGTGGACGTGGTACACCTGCAAACCTTGCAGCTGCTCATGTCAGTGTTGTGCTGTGGTCATTACAAATGTTTATGTTCGTCCTGTCACAGTTGCATGCTCATTATTAGTCACATTATTGCTCACTCATACAACCCGAACGTCCTTTTCCTGGTCTGTGATAGCGATCACATACAGCATTAATTCCACATGTGATTTCTTTTTCTACATCAATATTTCTTATGACTGTAGTATAATGAGAACAATGTGTGAGAGCAGGCGCTGGTCATGTGTTTGTAAATCGCTGTTGTGAATGTGTTTATTGAATGGAAACACCACAGTCCCACCGCAGCTCCAGGTTAAACTGCGCACCTTGCAGCTGTTCAGGTCAGTGTCATGGGAAACAGTTCGCGATTCACAGACAGTATTTGGAACAGCAACAACACATCTGACTTTACGTTGATTATATGTGATAGCAATCCTTCGTCAGAAACAATACGAGAAAGGAGTCTTTATTTCGGACTTTAGAGATCCCGCAGAGGCAGTGGCCTTTTATTGTGAAACATGTCTAAGCCACGCCTATTTTCAAGCATTTTGATCGATGAGTAAGTAGAACTCGTTCACCGGGTCTGCAGCTTTCCCCTACTCGGCTGAGGGGTGGGGAGTCTGCAGCCAGACTCTCTTGGAGAATCTCGGCGTCTGTGTTCATCGTCGACTTGGACCAGGATGGAGCTGGCTGCATACTGGAAGAGCAGCGCTCTGATTTGTATTCTCCTCTGTAAGTACTTCAGAACTTCTCTTAACAGTTACACTAGAGCTGCGCTACACACGATGTTTTAATGAGGTGAACTTTTCACTGTAGTGGCCTGTTTAGTGAAATAACTGTTCCCATAGGCTGCGCTAGCTCTGTTCGATGCGACAAATGTGTGTCTACTGTTGGATTATAAATAAGTCAAAGTTGTCTCATTGTTGAGGACATTGGAATGGTTTTGAAGAGAAACGTGACTTTCTTCCGCAGCACAAACATGCCGACAAAGCTACATAGCCTCTGATCTATGGATATGTTTTGCTCTGACCTCGCGTCAAACGTGTTATTATTTACAGTCTGTGTCAAACCCATCATGGGGCAGTGGGATTGTACTAGATCCTGAATAGGATCGGAATATGGATTCTGAATGACGTCTTTCATTCAGTTGTTTACAGTGGTTACTCCATGTGTTAGATCCATGTGTGTTTCTGTGGTTGTTTCCTGCTTTTTCACCGCTTCCGCCACGTGTTGGGAAGGAGCGGATGTTATGAGTTTTACTCTCATGTTTTTGACTTAAAATGAGGAGTAATCTTTTATTATTTGTCCAATCTTTGTGAAATAGAATCTATGAAGATTACGAGGCTCTGCTCTGTGCACCATAAGTAGTATAGGTAATTAAAGATAGGCCTACAAACATTAGGCAGCTGTTTGTGTAAGCCCTCAGTCGTACAGGGATTAGTCAAAGCAAAATGATGGGAGAAACCTTCTTTTGATTAGGCAGCTGTATTTGTCATATCAGTTATGTTGTTGTTCATAACACGGGGAGAATCAGAAGCAGTGTAGAAAAAAATCCAAATCCAATCCAAAATATACCATTTCGATCTATGTTTCAGCCTAAAAAATATTTACAGGTTGGTTGATATTTACAGGAAAGGGACGGATTTCACTTTGGGATTGGGGCGGGGCAGGACAGGAGAATGCTTTCCCGCGTAAGCCTCTGTATTATAATAACAAGGTTATAAGGTGCACAGTGGATCCACGACATAGGGATGTCCTGTAGCAACTCACTGTGAGTTGTGTAAACCACTCCATGCCATTTAAAAAATCTTCCATTAATTTTTGGATTAATCCGCCGGGATGGTACATGGGTCAAAACTGCTCCAGTCTAAATTGGGATACCTGGGCTCAATTCCAATGTAACTGTAAGCCAACTGTGGCATAGGAAATATCAGGCTTCTTTTGTTTCAGATTGTACTTGGGAAGCACTTGGAGTATTCGTCCAACAATTTGGAAGAACAAAGATAGATTTCTTAGACATAACATGCTCCTGTTGTGTCTTTAGGCAAGACCCTTCGGCTCCTTTGCATATGAATCTAGTCTAGTGTATACATAGCTGTGTGACTTATGTGCAGTTGAATCAGTGTTTTGTATCCAATTGAACACCTTTTTATATATATATATGCATTTGTTTTGTTTGTTTTTCTTCTGACTGTAGTTAATTTTGCAAATTATGCCTCGATGTGCAATATTACCGTTGGCCCTGAAAACATTACATTTGAGGTACCGCCCCTAAAACCTGAAGACTACGATTGTCAGTACTCGTGGAACAATGATAGCGTAAGTGCCTTCTGCAGAATTTTTATTTACTTTACATTTTATTTTGATTAACTTTACTGTTGTGTATTTTATTTAGAACGTGGTCTTGGCCAATCATTTGGAATGTCATCCAAAAATTCTCCACCAAACCATCACATCACTGGTGATTGCAAGATGTTACAATGTCACCTACAAACTCAACTGTAGAGTAAGTATGATTTTACTTTCTATATCTCCACACAGCAACAACGTTAGTTAAATTGTAGGAATTCTCTCTGTGGTTTTTTATAATCTTGGCAAGAGCAAAAAAGTAAATAGTAAACACTATCAGAGAAGTACACTAGCCAAACAAGCTGAATTTACTTAGTAACTAGTTACTTTGGAATAATTATTTTCCCTCTTTTTCCTGTGTATAATTCACATTACCTCCACAGGTGTGACGGTAAGTTTTAATTCAGTCAAGTGTATGAACTAAAAATGATTTGTTGCCAACATTTTAAATTTTGCATGATGTTTGTTATTTTCTTCTTGTTGTCTTGTCTTCTCCAGTAAACAGTGATACATGCAATTCGATTACAAGTGGAAGAAAAGGGAGGGATGGGTGGATCTTCAGAGCCTCAGCATATTCTCGTCATTGTAGTCTCCGTCATTGCAGTCATTGCAGTCATTGCAGTCATTGCCGTCATTGGCCTTGCTTTGAAAAAACTATTCACAGGTTTGCATGCGATGGATGCAACAGCATTCATCTATACATTTGGTTCTAACCATTTTTTTTTATCAGGGAGGAGACATGAGCCAATCCCCCAGGCCTGAGCATTAACCGTTCAATACTTCAGCATTATGTTTATGTCTTGGATTTTGTTATTCACACATTTATATTAGATGAATAGATCCACACTGGTGCAATTTCTTTTTTAATATTGTAATCTTTGTCTAAACTACTGTATTTGTACAGATCCATAATTATGACCGGATACAGATTGTGTGTGCACTTTGAGTACCTCTAAATATGATAATATACACTGTTTTTTATTAATTATATTAAATTATAAATATAAGCTATTTATATGAAATATCTAAGTATGTGTTTTTCTATGACATTAAATTATGCAAATAAATCTATCCTTTATACCCAACATCTGCCCTGCTTCCTCATTTAAAAATTGTAACGTTAGATTTATGTTAAAGTTATTGTACTATTTTGGGTAATCATTGTGTATATTTAGCTTTCTGCTTTGTATTATTATTTGCACATACTATACATTTTCCTGTTATCCCACAGAAAGAGTGAGAGACAGACTTGGACTTGACAAAAGTGTTTAATTGTTCAAACAGTCAAGACACTTCGCATACAGTAGCTGTCAGAGCACCCCACCCCCTCTCAAAAATACATACACCCATTTTTGAGTGTTTGTGTGTGTGTGAGAGAGAGGTTTTTTAGCAAGACATCCAGCACGTAAAACTGAGTTGAGGGAGGGTAATTTAATGGGCTGATTTCTGCAGACCAATTGCTCGTTGGGCATGGATGGGGTGAGACGTCTTGTGACAGGAAGTCTCCCTTAGAAGGTGACGTGATGACACGTGTGGGATTCCCCTCTGCAGTAGCTCAGATGTGGACCAGGTATAGTTTACTGTGATTGAACTTAAGTGCCCTCTTGTCATTGGACACCATGAGCAGCTCCATGGTTCTCTCTCAGGGAGCAAGGCGCACACCTCGGGGCTCAAGTCCATGTCATGTGATTTGGAGTTGTACTGTTATACCATATTTTACACACATGGGGGGAATAATACCCAGGAATGATTCCTAACAAACAACTGATAAGACATTTTAATATTCCTTAAATCAAACGTTATTTATGGGCTAAAGCTCTTTGCAACCGCGATTAATGAAGTGTTTTCTATCAATGTAATATTATGCAATCCACACCGTACTCATAAATGCAATCTGCATTCCACTAGATGGCACTAGTCACTCACTACTATATAATAAGAATGCATCAGTTTTCTATGGCGCTTTTTGGACATTCAAAAGTTATTCATTATTCATGAATATAAATTATTAATTCACTCCGTACACGGTGGTGATAATTTACTACTGTAGACAAAGGCAGACTGACAATAACGGTGCAACCATGACGACTCCTTCGACCATCATCATTCACGCACAGCCTCATTCTGGGCAATGTGGGAAAAGTGTCTTGCCTAAGGAGGAGTAAGTAAGTAACAAAAGTTTACTCTTCAGCCCCACTGTGACACCTGGTGATCCCAGAGGCCTCCCATCTCAGTACTAACCAGGCCCTGCTGCGCTTAGCGTCTGAGGCTTTGATATGCAGGTGGTTCATAAATTAACTTTTAGTCCTATGCGCGGACAAGGCTGTACGACCCTGACCTGGAGAGAGATCACTGCACAATTTTTCTTTTCACTGTGTCACTGTGTTCATTACTTGTTGATTACCCACATTACTTGCTAAAATAATGATATTATTATGATTATTCTTATTGCTTTGCATGTCTTATTCATTGTTATTTCAAGAGTACATCTTGTGCAGAAAGTGTTTTGAACAACGGGATTATCCTATTTCCTCCAAGACACTCACAAACTGCATTTACATTGGATGGCACAAAACTTATATATATACTTATATAGTATTATGCTATGGCCTATTAGTATTGTACCTTTATGCAGTGATTTTAATAGACAAAGACCCTGTATCGTTGCAATTACAATTTTTGTATTGATATTTTTTGTTTATTGTGTTGGACAGAGCACATTAATGAACACACCTCTCCAGATTGTAGTAATAGATAAATATGGGGCCATTCTCCCACAGTCATTCTCACAAACACACAGTCATTCACCATAAAGATGAATGACAATTTTGATAAAAAAGATAATGGCTGCGCTGCAAATATGTCTTAATGTAGTAATAATTTGTATATGAGCTGATCATAAGACTTGAGGATTATTCTAAGGGAGGGAGTTTCTGTCATTGCAATACTATAATAAATATGTCATGGGTACAGTACCTTTGACTTTTTTGATTTGGATGCCAAAAAATAGTTTGGGGGAAAATGTATAAAGCTTTTGAAAACCTTTTTTGTTGGAATTTTTTTTGGAGAAGTCAATTCAAGTTTAAGCTGTTGATTTTCAAAATCTGTGGCACATTCACACTTTTGGTCTGGTTCACTTTAACTGGACCAAGTCTGGTTCACTCAGGGGTAAAAATCTTCACAGATCTGTTTCAAAAGAAGTAAATCGGCGGCAGTGATGATTGTACACATGTTCACTAGTTTAGTTTTTTATGTCCACAAATAAAGCAGTTGTCAGCAAGTGAACCAGAATCCCACCCATTATTTGATCGAGAAGCCAAAACGAAATCTTCAAAAACAACAATTTTGTGCTCCTTGGTTGGAGCAATCACAGCAGAGGGCGCTCTGGGAGACTGCTCTGTTCAGGTTTAAAAAGAAGCCACAATCACGGTTCAGGTGTGGTGCTGAGGACACAGGTTTTTTTTGCCATGCTAAATTTGTTACTGTTAAAGGATTCAAGTTCAGTGGTTTTTCCTTTATTTTTCTGTTATTTTCCCCCCTACAAATTCATTATTAAATGGACTGACATTCTGACTTGACACTTGAGTTTCACAATTTACCATTTTATTTAAATATTTTTTTGTGTCATCTCCAGCGTCAAAGCGCCACCACACTCCCTATATAACATTTATTTCTGAATCTGTAGGGGGTTCTATGCGCCGATTTCAGTTTTTTCGCCCTCAGTTCACCTTGGCCCGTGAGTTGAACAACTGATGAAGCTGCAAATGTCATTTACTCATTTGTTTTCTATTTTATTTTTTTTAAACAAATTTCTCGTACTTCTCCCTACTTATAAGGATGTTCGATGAAACCTGCAAAAGTAAATATCTTGTGGCTTGAACCAAAACACCACAATAAAACATATTTAAGACATTGAGCATATTACAAGAAAACTGTCCAAATGATAGAGGACTTGTGTGGATAAGTGTGTGTTAAATACACCGCTCAGATGGGTCTCCTCGCCTCCCCAGCCCCTCACACCACATTAATCTGAACTAATCAGCCGTTCAGATGTTATTATTTCCACAAGAGGAACATGCTCCGTTTGATTAACTGCAGGTAAATGTATTATTCTCAGACAAGATCAAACACGACAGAAAACATGAACATGGTCAGAATATCTTATGCAGATATCAAGTAAGCCTAATTATTGCCTATATGTCTGCACTGTTGGGCCCTAAAATATAGCCAGGTGGTTAGACAATATTTTGACTTCAATTGTGAGATCAAACCTGCAAAATTTGACATAATAAAGGAGAAAATATAAATAACAATATATTTATACCTGTACTTTGAATGAATGAATGATGAATGATTAAATGCCAACAAGAACGATATATGATTCCAAGATCAGTTTCTTTCTTGCTGATTGTTATTATAGATATAGCAAATCTTATCATGTAATTATAAAAACATCCATGTTCCTCAAACCAATCATTTATACCTGAACTGAAAGTTTCTGAGTAAGTTTGAGTCCAGTTGAACGCCTGGAGCAACACTAAGAGAAAACAATAGCTGTGAGGAGGAGGTACAGATACATTTTCATGATGCTGACAGAACTTAGAATCATGCCAAGAATCCACCAGTACATAAGGTTAAAAGTTTAAACACTTTCAGCTCAAGCTCCTCTATCTCTCCCATCTCCGCTAAGTGGAAACACACTGTAATTTCTCCTGTGCTTTATTATACAGCTTGGTGCTTCATATTTGCAGGAACGATGCATTTAAGGTAATTAAAAAGGCTTCAGAGCGATCACAAGATTGTCACATCCCTGAGGACATATCTCCAACAGCACAGATTTAGCTTGAAGAGATCATACTAAGAAGCCTGTTTATGTGGTACTGCTAATGCTATTCTAAAAAACTCTCAAAGATTGCAAAGTCGTTGTTTCTTTGTGCTGGTAATCAAATATATCAGCTAATATCACAAGCAAAATTGTTAGCCATATTCTCCTACGGGTCTTTAAATTTACACTTCAGCATTGTCAAGTTAATTTCCATCGAATGAGGGAAATGGCAATCCTCCCATTTGCTTTCATTTGTTCTTAATTTGTCACAGCCGTGTCGGAGCGAGGATTCTTTTTCAGTCTGATGTGCAAAATGATACATCTGCTGCAGCTACACAAAAATGACATTTGAGTTTTTACTTTCAGATATGTGGCATTTGATTTGAAAGTCAAGGGGGGAAAGTACAATGCAGAAGTGGAAAATAACAACGTTCTTATCTAATTGACCCTCTGAGTTCACTTGTGCAAATTGTGGTCCTGTTTTCCAAACTAATGGGCCTGGAACAGGGTTGAATCTTTTTTTTAACACTATACAACACTACATAATACCATAACACTATACAATATTGAGGTTACATTTTCCTCATTAAAATAGTGTGAATGAATGTCACTGAAACAATGTCAATTCTTCCCATTTTTAATTTTTTAATAATAAGAATAATGCAGCGCTTTTTTG